CGGCCGGTATGCAGCCAAGAGGTTTCGCAAGGCGCAGTGTCCCATCGTAGAGCGTCTCACCAACTCTCTTATGATGCATGGTCGCAACAACGCCAAGAAACTGATGGCTGTGAGGATAGTCAAACACGCCTTTGAGATCATCCACTTGCTCACTGGAGAGGTAGGCTTAGGCTATACAGTAGTAGGTACTGTACAATTTTCTAAGGTTTATTGTCATTCATTTAGCCATTTTCATTAGGTACGGTACACACACAAGTTTTTAGTGCTAAGCCAAAATGTTAATTTCATTTGAAAGCAAAACAATTTTAATAACTAACTATTATGTTGTTACAAAGTGTTTTTACTAAGACTGGCCACACACCTAGACACAACATGTCAAAAAACATTGTTCTACATCTATTTCTTGCTTAGGGTTACCTTTTCTGATTTTATTTTTTACAATACACTGTCCAATAGTGAAACTGCATGCGCTGAGTTGAAATCCAAACCACCCGTATAGTATTGGGTTAAGTTGTACTGTGAGTAGCCTGTAATGAAGAGTGGTGATAGCCAGTGTCCGATTTGTAAAAAAAATAAATGCCGGAACTGTAACCTATTTAATGAGTTTTTTACCTATGTATGTACCAATTTATGCCAATATATTTATCTTTCTGAAAGGGAAGTACCGAAACTACATTCCGCCGCATTCCCCCACAAATCGAGCACTGGTTGTAGCTGTTATACCTAGATTTTTAGAGATAAGATATTGACCTTGATAAGTTTCCACCAATAATCAATGCATTTCTGATAAGATCCAAAATTTGGTTTTGGGATCAGAAGGTAGTTAGGAACAAATTCAAACCTTGGTACTACAATTAAAACTGTAGAAAACAATACAAAGTTGTTTTGTCAACTTGTACTTTGCTTGTTCAGCTGTGGGATAGGCCTTACATCACTTTCAATTTTGAATTGTCCAAAGAGCTTATTCATGATTATTTATAGACTAGTTGGATGGTAGCTGCGTTAATTGATTCATCCTTAGTTTCTTACATGCATTGCATTTTTTGGGGGGATTCATGAAGGCCTACATGCTAAATTGTAAAAACTAGGATTGGGTAAACCAAGAACTACCAGTATTTAATCGTAAATAAAATTTTCATTTGGTTGCTTTTAAGTGTTAAATGCCAAAGTGTAGTTCTTAAGCATCTATGTTATTTGTTTGACAGAACCCACTGCAAGTTTTGGTGACCGCCATCATCAACTCAGGGCCGAGGGAAGACTCAACACGTATCGGAAGAGCTGGTACTGTGAGACGACAGGCTGTTGATGTCTCCCCCCTCCGTAGGGTCAACCAGGCTATCTGGCTGTTGTGCACAGGCGCTCGTGAAGCTGCCTTCAGAAACATCAAGACCATCGCTGAGTGTGTGGCTGATGAACTCATCAATGCTGCCAAGGTAACACTCTCCGAGTTTGTATAGGCCTACTTTCGTGGCGGAAAAAAAACAAATCTAACCATTGTAACATTTTGATTGTTTTCAGAAAAAAAAACTTAAGTTCTTGGTGTATATGTTCCGAAGGATTATGATTTTCATCACTTCTTAGAAAAGTATAATATAGTTTTCATCTTTATATTTATTTCGCCACAAGTAGGCTTGTAGTTTGTTCTTGATAAAATGCTTATTTTTGTAAGATTTATCCCCACATATTATACTTCAAGATACGTGCCTCAGTGTGCAGATGTGTATACAGGCTTTATATTTTCTATTCAAGCCGTAAAACTCGAGAAAACCGTAAAAATAATCGTTTACATTTATCATTTAAAGTGGGGATGGTCAAGTCTCGAAATTTCGGGAAATTTTCGGGAATTTCTAAATCTCGTTACACGAGACGAGATTTCTTTTTGGCCGAGATTTTTATCAAGACGAGAAAAAAAAAAAAAAAAATTAAAAACGCCTGCAGAAAGTCAATGCAATACCCGCAATACAGGAGCCCGATCGGTTGTAGTTGCGTTTCCTTTGCGAAGGCGTTCTTATTTAATTAATTCTTCAAATGTAAATATTACTTTAATTATTTTAATAACATTTGAAGAGTTTTTTGTTAAGTGTTAGCAGTGTGAGGAATGTTTTATTACTATAAAAAAAAGTCAAAACAAGTAACTATTTTATAAAAATTAATATTTTTTTTATGATTTATTTTATTATGTTGTAGTTGCGTTTCCTTTGCGAAGGCGTTCTTATTTAATTAATTCTTCAAATGTAAATATTACTTTAATTATTTTAATAACATTTGAAGAGTTTTTTGTTAAGTGTTAGCAGTGTGAGGAATGTTTTATTACTATAAAAAAAGTCAAAAAACAAGTAACTATTTTATAAAAATTAATATTTTTTTTTATGATTTATTTTTTTTAGGATAGCCTAAGTTGAACTCTATCCTAACTGATATCACTATGTTTCCTAATCGTAGGCATTTTTAATAAGTTAGGCGTGATTAATAAAAAAATGTTATGCTGATGTTTTTTAATATAAGATTGTAAATATTCTTGCCTATTATCATTATTTTTGTATTTAAACAGTCATCTAACAATGTTACAAAATCAGGTAAAAATTCCGAACATGCATTTCCCGTTGTGTATGAGAAGGGAAATCCCGTCTCGATCTCGTCTCGAAATTTTATGAGAAATAAAAAATCTCGTCTCGAACTAAAAATCCAATCTCGTCCATCCCTATTTAAAGTTTAGTCATTTGCTTAATTCACTAAAACTAAATCCAGCATAGCTTTTTAATATATCAATTGCAACTGGGCGTACTTTAAAACGAATGTAAATGTGTTCACTTTGAAGTTGATGAATTCATTTGGTTTTGAAAGATGAGAATCAGGTTAGGAAACCTACTTGTTATTTATTTTTTAAATTTATAACTCGATAAATTTTTAATCCAACAAAAGTAAAAATAAAAATAGCATTAGTCATGTCATGTCTTATGTTTCAGGGCTCATCAAACTCTTACGCCATCAAAAAGAAGGACGAACTGGAGCGAGTTGCCAAGTCCAACCGTTAAGTAATTGTTTTATACAATAAAAGTTTTAAAAGTTCCAAAACTGGCCAATTTTTCTCAAAACCCCTCCTCAGCTATGATAAATATTAATTTGTACATCATTTTTCTTGATCTCATTTAACTTTGTAACATGTTCTTCATGGCTTTAAAACTGGTTTTTGTGGTATTTAAGGAGACTACCTGGTCTGGGAACGTGAGTGTTAAGCTTCTACTACACTGATGAATCTCTAGACAGTTTAGTTAAGTCTGTTAAACAGAACAACTCCATAAAGGAAGATCTTATAGACTGCAAATAAGCTGTAGTCTAATTAGGTATTGCAATGTTTAAAGTTAACACAACCTACACATATTGCAAATTTTCGATTAGGCCTAAATCGGTAATTTTTTTAATATTATATCAATATATAAAACTAGGAAACCCGTCAAAATCGACGGTTACTTTCAAGGCTTACGTTAATTCATCTAACTGCGATAAATTGGGTGAAATATACATATTTTGAGCATTTAGCATTGTTTAAAGAGTAATAAGTGTAAAAACAATAATGATATTAATTGCGTTAGTTGCCAAATTTGGTTGATCATTCAATGAATAAAATATTCCCCATATCGTACGTCATAGGAGTTATTATTAGTATGTTATATGGTATCTCTTCCTTTGGAAGAACCTTTAAATAGTATTAAAATCGTATTGGTGGATCTTTTGTAGTTGGCTTTTATTCTAGAACTGTTAGGGGTCTCCTAGTTCATATGGTTCGAATTCGAGCAACAGATACACTAGTAATTGCTGCAAAATGCCCTAAAAATCAACTGACACCACAATGATTGACACCAGGAGGGTTAATCGAATCCTGGCCAAAGACACTAAGAAAAGTAACCTTAAATGTTCAAGTGGGTTTTGATAAAAGTTTTCTTCTGTACTTAAAACCAAATTAGGAAAGAAATTGCCTCTTAACCCTCCGAGTGTTATTTGTCGCTGCAGCGACACATAACACACTTTGTATAGTGTTTTGTGTCGCTGCAGCGACTCACAAACACTGTTTACGGCGAAGGCTCTATGACTGACAAAATCGGATTGAACTGGATCGAGTTAGGTATCGTTTTATTTGACAGATTCAGAGCTTTCTCCGGAGGTCTGTCTCTAAGCGCTATTCATTTTAGTTCCGAAAATATTGTAGCAGACAGCTGACGTGCGTATTTGTAAACAGCTTTGTTAACCTCGGACCGATGACTGATGTGTTTTATTACGTTTATCATTGTTTTAGTGTTAAAAATCAAAAGTAGTGATATACGTGGTGCATTATAAGAAGATTTAAGATATCGATGTAAATTATCAGCCAGATTCCTAGCTATGGTTAGGCTATGCATTCTTAGCTAAACGCTATGTACTGAAATCTGTTTTTTGCCCATAACTTATTTATTTGCAAATCTACTTCCTTATATTGTTATATATTTGTAATCCTCATAAAATTTAGAATAAAGTGGGTATTTTCAAATATTTATAGGCCTATAATTTATACAATTTCATTGAGCGCGAACTTAATTTTTTTTTTTGAAAATTTTCCAAAATATTTTTTTTTACCTAAAAAATTTTTTGGAAACAAATGTTCCTTATGTTCTATATATAATATTGAAGCCCATGATTTTCCAAACAAAATGGTATATAGAACAGTATAATTAACATTGTTTTCAAGCTTCTCAGATCCGTTTTAATAAAACCTTGCAAATGAGCAAAAAATAGGCAGACATGAAGGCCAAAACAAGGGACACTCGGAGGGTTAAAGCTGGCATGATAGAAAAGTAAACTTAAATACTCTCAAGTGAACTTTGATAATAGGTTTCAAAAGTTCAGGTTCTTAACCCTCTTAACATAAACTAAATCACACAAGAAAAAGAATTTAAGATAAAACTGCAAGGTAAAATAAAAGACTTATTCATAAGTAAATATGTATTTAACAATACGTTCAGGGTACATGAAAATAGCTCTCTGACACTCAGTTTGACAAATTCTTATGACTTATTGATATCACAAATTGGTCAAACACATTTTAGACCTTTCCTACGAACATTTCCTACTAAAACGTCAAACCCACATTCAGCACACATGATGGTAACTAAACAGGACATTACTTAATAGTTCTAAGTTTTCTAAACTGCTCAAAAGTACTGAAACCTATCTAATCTATGACTACTTCAAAGATAGAGATCTAAAATTGAATTAGAAGCAGAAAAAAACACTTTTGCTATATGACTTGGCTAAATACAATTTTCTAGGTTATTTAAAAAATAAAAATTCAACAACTAAAAAATAATCAACTTTTAGTTAATTGGTTTTTCTATGCTAAAACATAAAATTTGCACCAATAGACCCAAAAAAGAATTGACCTATTTTTAAAACTACTGCGAAGTGATGATTAAACTAGTGCTGAGTGAATAAAGAAAAAATAATTTGTAAGAACAACTTTAAAACTATCGAGACTACATAGAAAAATATAGATACAGCATGATATCATTTAAGGGGGAAAGTGTACATTGAGCAAATAATTAGGTTGGTGTTAGCAATCAAAAGGTCAACTCCAACTGTAAAACTTTCTACTAATGACCAATAGTTATTTGTGCAACTAGTGAGAAAAGTGAGCAATTGACTCACTCGAGAGAAATCCTTATTCACGAGCCGTAGGCGAGTGAGGCAATTGTACTTTGAACTCGAGTTGCACATTATACTTTTCCTACAGTTAGGCCTACCATAAAACAAATAAATTGGTGAAAGTGACAAATACAACAGTACAACAGCTGACCAGCTGATTTACAGCCAGTGCTGCCAACGTACTTCACGCGCATACGACGTTGCCTGCATGTTATGCGCTCACTATTTCGTGCCTTCACGTTGCAAATCTGGAGTGAGACAAAGTAATTAGAGTGAGACAATGTGAACATTGTCTCACTGATGAGCGAATTGGCCAATTTGCTTTCTCAAATCAGTGAGAGAACATGTACATAGTTAGGTAACTGTAGGAAAAAGATATTTTGACCATAAAAGGTTTTTCAGAGATTTAAACCAACATTTTCACTAGGTAAATGTATAAACTGTACACCCTAAACATGTTGAGGATGCTACTTTTCTCCACGACTTAAATTGTAGTTGTCCGTTTTTTAAATGATATTGCTTAGTTTTTGTTTATAGAACCAGTAGCGACCCAAGTGAACTAATTGACAAAACTTTTTAATATACACACCATCTAATGCTGAACTAATGCAAGAGAGAATTTAACCCCACCTTAATCAATAAGTTCATAACAATACAAGAGTCAAGTAACGTAAACTAACACACAAACACAACATGATACATTCAACAAAGAGTTACACAACACTAATGGTGAAGTAATGGAAGGGTAAACAATCATACATCAATAACATCAGCATTCTGTTTTGGCTTGTCGGGTAACTGTTATCAATTATTGCACTTAAACCCTTATTTAAAAATCTCTTCAATGCCTGTAAAGGTAACATGGTAAGTCTCAATTATCCAACTGAGATGACGACCATCTTGGATTTACCCGCCATAAGAGCTATGTTTTGTTAATTTCAAACAGCCGCTGATGAGTTATTTAACATCTCATTTTTTTTCCAAATTCTAAAGTGATTGTAGCTTAAATATCTAGTGCACTGAGATTATAAACTTCTATGCCCAAAGGACTCTGAAAAGCCATAAAATTTTTTGGGCTGCACTTTACTTTAGGTCCTACACTCATTCGAATGAAAATATCGATTATTCAATTGTTTCATTTGATATATCGTTTGGTTAGTTAGGTTAGGTTAACCTTACCTAACTAGCCAAACGATATATCAAATGATCGATTAATCGATATATTGATCGATATTTTCATTCGAATGAGTGTAGGACCTAAAGTAAAGTGCAGCAATTTTTTGCCATGAACATTATTTTATCAATTTTTGTATCTAGCTCATGTGGTTTTAAAAGTGAATGTTAGTGTTTGGCAGAAAAGTAGATAAACTAACAATGATGATAAGTAAATCTTACTCGCAAGCTCTTCAAGACAAAGCTCTGGAAACTCATTGTCTTGCTGCTTCACGCATGTATTATTCTCTCTACGAATTTGTAAATAAAGAATATTGTCTTTTGGAAACAAATTCCAGGGAAATTATCGCTAACACAAAAACTACAGTGTGATGAACATTACATTGTGCAGATTTCCGATATCAGTAGTTTTGAGAGGATAATTTGATATGATCTAGTGGGTAATTATATGATCTAGTGGGAAATTATATTTTATTATTCAAATTATTGACACCTCTGCTTATTTAACCTTGCTGCAGACGAATTAAGTTGAATAATCGAGACTAATTCTATTACTGTATGCCAAAATTTCACTAGACATCAACTTGGGACAAACAAAATATGAATACAATTCACAAAGAGCTTGTTTAAACACTTCACAACTTACTTATTCATGCTTTACTTACGTGTATGATAACTTAAGAATGTTGATAACCCGTAACAAAATACATCTTGTAAAACATAAATAAAAAAGAATACTAAAATAAGAAAATGCAAAACATTGTTTAACCATGGAGAAACAAAACACCTGGTTAAGACATGTATATAAGTTTTTTTAGTGGTAAACAGACAATGACACCAGAAAATAAAAATACTGATACACAATCTTGTATACTTCAAAAGGTCAACAACCTTCCTCTTTGACAGGAAAATCTAGAGTTAAAGAAAATTTAAGAACTGCCACAGGTATAATTATAGTGGTTCACCTAGACCTGTGTGAGTTTGTCAACTACCAAATACCAAGGTTATTAAAGTACATTCAAAGCTTAAAATAAGGCAAGACTAGATTATACAACAAATAAAGAGCACAAACTTGTCTTACCATCAAGCTTTGGGTTAGTAAATTTCAACCATAGCATTTTATATAGGTGTATTTATAGAATTATATTCATGTTCGTATGGCCCTAAGGCTACTTACTATTTTTTTTTTCAGCAAAACTACATCTACTTATCTCACCATTAGTACGAGATGGGTCATAATTTAATTTGGCACTAAAATATAAACTTAAATAAGAAAGCCACATGCAAATTTACCTGCCATGTCATTTGGAAAAAGGTAGCAAGAAACTGGAATGGTATGTCTTTTAAGTAACAATTTTCACATGTCGAAGTAACAAAACATTCAACATGCATTTTGTCTTTTTCCAAACGGTGGAAGCACTTTTCAATACTTCTTTTCTTTGTGTATAAACTCACTTACTCTTTTTGTGTACAGAAGAAATACAAAATATACGTCTGTTCAGTGATATGTACCTTTCAGAATCCAGTAGTGTAAAGAGTAAGCGGAATGTATCGTAAATGAACACAGGTTAAGAGGCGTGTCGTACTTAATACTAAAACAGATGTATTGAATAGGAATGTAAAACACATATTTTTCTCTTGTGTACTCCAATTTTGAAAATCTTAGCTTACCTTAGGAAATTTGAGTTCAGGGGTTAATCAATACACAACTAAAGGTCACAAAACATACTGATATTTCGTCCTTACACAGGACTTGACAACACTTGCAAAGCTTCAAATGAGATTTCTCTTCATTCTACTCTAAGTCTTTTATCAGGCCAAAATACCAGGGTTAAGTTTTACAAGGAATTGATACACCAACTTACCTAAGAAAAAAGTTCAGGTAGTAGTTGATATTACACAACAGTCCACCAAATTTTGATCACAATTAATGTGATATTTTCCCTATAAGGAGGCTTTTCCAAAAGGAATGTTTTGTGACCTGTTATTGTGTGTAAATTAGCTTCTGGTCTTTTTCTCAGGAAAGCTAGTTTGAACTATCCTTTTTAAAGAACATTCCTAATTAGCGACTTAGCTTTCCTATCAATTATAACCTAAACAATAGTTTTGTACAATTATAACTATTGTTTTATAATTACGTTATTCAAAAGTTACGCAGGCTTGCAGTTCTTCATTAACGTCCATTACAAGGTGAAGCACCACCGCTATTTGCCACGAGACTCGGCCAATGAGAGAGCAGCAAGCTGAGAGTAGATACTGCCTCGGGCAAGTCCAGCACGAGGGCCCTTGCGTAGAGAGGGGTCGGGGCCCCGAGGAGAGGAGGGCCCCTCACAGTGCAGAGGGTCGGGGCCCCGTGCCAAACCCCCACTACCACACCAGGCTACGTAGTCCGGCCTGTGGGACACACTGTCATGTACATGTCAATAGCGGGCTTTAACTGGCTATCCCATCAATAAGCAATCTAAAGATACCTATATTTAATTTTAACAAAGCTCTAGCTCGTGATTGTTTTTTTTTTACAATACTTCAGGCTAGGCTAGAGGTTGCGCTATTATCACTTGGATAATATCCATTAGACAGGGTTTGAGCACGGGCATTGGGGACCAAAGTCTCGGCTCTGTACCATGTATACCAGCTCGCTCCCAAAAGTAGAAACCTAGCCTTAAGTAAAAGATACCAAAAGTGATATGTGTGATCCTATGTATGACCTTTGACTATTGATCCAACTTCTGTATCCAATAGTCAATTATATGACGTAAGGACATAGGAATTTTTATTTTTTTCTGGAATTGTTAGCCTATTCTTTCCTGGAGAATTGGGCGATAATTAAGAAAATATTTTGGTAGAAATATTGAGTTTTAATGGCAAAAACGGATAATAACATCTGATTTCGGAGGGTAATAATGGTGATTTGTTTGGTACAATCTCACTCATGTAGATTTGTTTATAGGCTAACACTGCTATCTTATACTTCTTTCAAGGTACTAACTGTTATCTGGCATAACTAAAGGCAACTCTGTACAAACTTGCGTTTCTTTAGATATCTGAACCAATTTTGTTAAGTAATCTGTAATAAGTAAAATTATTGTAACTCTGAGCAAATGAAGGCTTAGGAAGGGATGTTTGGGGATGAAACAGATTTTGATTTTATAAAATGTTGCATACATATATCTACTGTACTGATATAATGATGAAATTGTTTTAGGAAACAAATTCTATTCAGTATAATAAATTGATACATGCACATTCTATATTTATGATGAGATCGGTAATTATATTGTTTTTACTTAACATGAGTACTAAAAATGAGTTTCTAATGATGAGTTTGCAAATAAAAAGAAATAACCATTCAAAATAAAGTTACAAAGATTTATGTGAAAGGCAAAAAATTCCCATAGAAGGTCACTAAAAAAAAATTGTTTATAAAATCAAGGGCCTGTTGGTAAACAAGTGTTTAGTGTTTGGTAGATTATCAGACTTATGAAATGAAATAAGAGAAATCAATAGCACTGCAACACCATTATCGTTCAAAAATGTTTGCAAAATCATTCTTTAACACCTTTGCTGTGGCTGCGTGATGGTCGCCCGCTGCCGGGAGCGCCGGCAGCTAATGCACTGTGTGGATGAGTTCGCGAAAATGTTTGAATTCAGTTTCATCAAATAGTAGAGGCATATTATAGCATGTACTGTCTCCCAGTCGTTGTGCACAGTTATAAAAAAAAAAAAAAAAAAACCAATAGATAACAGAACTAAACAAAACTGCTAGCCGGCCCTCAGTATTGCCAAATGGATGGAAAAAGCAGAGGCAAAGTACCCGGATACTCAATCAAAACATACCGCTAAAAAGTGATCAAGCAAAGTTTTGAGGTTATGTTCCTTCCACAATGCAATTCAGTATCGTTATTCTACAGTATCGTTGTCATAACATTTCTAACATGCTACAACGACGTTGTTCATCTAAACAATAAACCACGTCAACAAACACAAAAATAAAGCCCTTTGGAAAATATGAATATTGGCAGTAACCTTGACAAACATGAAATTAAAAAACCTATCCTAACGTGCACGCTAATGCACAATATGCGTTTCCTTCTCAATCGCTAGACGAAATATAATCGCATTACAATGTCATGACAAATAATGTCTCCGATAGGAGGCATGCACACCCGGGCGGGGTAGCTGATGTCTCCGATTGTAGACATGCCGCAGTAAACGTGTTAAAGATAAACTCACCACCAGCAACAATAAACTTAAATGTATAATTTTGCTATATCCTTTCAAAAACCTTTTGAAAGGTTGAAAGGCTTTCCTTTTGAAATATTATAACTTAATCTGCAGCATGCATTATTCGAGGGAATCCATTTGATGAAAACAAAGACGATGAAAGAAACGTAAATAAGCAGCTGATTGATTTTGATGTGTAATACTAGTGATAAGTGAAGAGTGTTGTGTCAGGTGTTACCTCAGCTGATATCTGTCTTCTGTCGTCCTTGAGTTGGTTGTTGCTTTGTCAAATATGTTGTTTATTTCAAACATTAACATGTGAATTTAAGAGAAAGCTGTGTTATTGAGTAAATCAAGTGGCAAGGGTTAGATGAAGCATATTCATATAATTTTGTACTAGATCAAACCATCTAATAAAATACTTGTTTGCGAACCTTTATCAAGACTAGTTTCAAACAATCTCTCATGTTTTTAGATTTTGAATATTTTTTAGCTGAAACAAAGTTCTTTTTTACATTACTTTTAAGTTTTTAAACATTACAGGTACTAAATTAGGTTAGTGAGTGTTAACAAGCTATGATAATATTAAAGATAACTCGTTTAAAAGGCAAATCCTTTAAGTAGAAACATAAATTATGTTTTTTTTTTTGTGTGAATCAAGTATATGTTTTGGTCAGTTCCTAAAGAGAAGCTTTTCACTTTTCACACCTATACTTACAGCAACAATGATTGATCAGGTCCGCGAACAAGTCTTGGATTAGGTCCCAGAGCTGGTCTGGTGAGCAGAGAACGATAACCACTGAAGTCGGTCATGTCGATAGATCTAGAAACATAAAATATCATTAAACTTATTGCTTGAGCTTCAACTCGTACCTGTGTTGGAAATTTGTTTTGATTAAAAACATGAAGGCACATGATATTATCAGATTTAGTATAATTAATTATCATATGGTTTTTGTGGAGGGAAAACTGAATTAGGGACAGTTTTATTTGCCTATACAGCTTACAACGAACTCCAAACCAATGGCTCATGAACAAATAATTTGGATAAAAAATTTAAAAAATAAATGTAGATTTTGTCGGTTTAACTATTTAAGAATAAGGGTGTGTTGGGGGGGGGGGCGTGGTGGTTAGCACCTCGGCACATCTACAAAACGTTAAAGGGGTTAGACCGCTTTTCATAAAAAGTGTTTAAATTGACTTCATTTAAAGTGCCACTATGGCCTAGATAAATAAAAACCAACTTTAAACATGTATTCAAGAGAAACTAAGAACTAATGTGAATTTCAGAGAGACAAAAATATAGTTAATAATAATAATTTAATGAAACTCCACTTACAGCTCACAATATGCACTATGATTCATAAATGTATCTAGACTGATAGTAGTGGAAACCTCCAAAATCTGATATTTACCAGTTATTATCTGTTTACTAATCAGCTAAGTATAAAAAATTTCTTATCCTATACTCTAATAGAATTATTGTCTGTTTGTTTGTGTGTTTGCAAAGTTTATCTTGAAATATAGCAGCAAAATGCTGAAAGTTTAGAATTGCAAACTTTTAGGGCGCAAAGTTTGGTTTGTGAATTTCACCAATAACTCAGCAAAACTAGTGAAGAAGACAAACATTAGTAAAAACACCATTTCTATTGGTTTGCAACACACAGTATTACTGTTTAAAATACAAATGTGATTTTGTATTTATCATTGACTGTGTCAATAGCGCGAGTGTGATAATTTAATTTACGATGGTTTTAAATGACTTTCGGTGACAAATATCTATGAAAAGATTCTTGTTAAGGAACTATTTCTCCTCCATTCTTTACATTTAGTTTAATTTCATACAATATTTTTATCAATGTATATTTTTATTTGTGATAAAAACCTAATTTTCTTGTAAATTTTACATGTTTCCATTTTTAACCAAGGAAACAAATTAAACACAACCTAGCATGGCTCAGCTGCCAGGCACTTTACTATCAAATAATATTTATTTTAAATTTAGGTTTATTCATTTACAGTTACGAGAGGTCGTCCAGTGGTCGAAACTCGACCAAAAATATGTAATGTACTCACTTCTCTATTTTCACCCCACACTGTAAATAAAACATGTGATTGGAGTTTCTTCCATTTGTTTTGATTTTCTGTTTATATTTCGTTGTTATTTCGTCACCAGCATGGCAACGCATAAAATCCATGTTAATTTTTTCAAATTTTCAAACTCATTTTTTGTGCTTATCTTTGAGCCTATTTAAATTTATAAAGGGATTCTGCACACCTACAGGAAAATTGCTTTCTAACGGTATGCGCAGATTTACCCCACGATGCACACAAGCTGAGAAAAAAGGTTTTAAAGAAACATGCTTGCCTATTAATATATAGATAGATTGTTTAAATAGTTTACCCTAACTGAAGTATAATATATTTTCAAGTTTACCATCTATAATTTAAAATATACAACCTAATTAAAACTTATAAATAAATCTTACCAAACAATAAGAATTCAACTCGTAGATAAAACACAAGGAAATACAGCTCGACTGGTGGATAGGTGTGTCACTCGAATAGGAAATGTCATTATGAAAAGTGTGGAAACAGTAGTTAGGGTGGCTTAATGCATAATAGATACAGCCGTTACAACCAAGGGGAGTTTATAATAGCATCAGCTGACACATTCAACATTATTTTCAAACTAATTGTTGGTTGAAAATAAAGTGTAAAGGTTCCAAATTTGACATAAAATCCAATCTTGAATTTTTTATTGTGTGTTATGTGGATAAGATTTTGGAATTTTGAATTCACTTATTGGCGTTATACTCAAACTGTTTATTGACTTCCCATACTTCTAACGGTACGGAGTGGTGGTGAGAGTAGCTTTGTTATATTTCTTCATGAGAAAAATATTATTGATGTCACAACGGCTTACAATAAACCGGTCATTCTATCCACTTCGAAATTCACACTTATCAAACACTGATTTAGGAACGTTTAAAAAAGTCAAAGATAAAATTACAAAAATGTATTTACAAGATGAAAACTGAAGAACAAAGAATAATCTTTAACTATCGTTTAGCTTTATTTCTCCTTGATTCTTCTTCTTCGTACTTTTTCAAAAGCTTCTTGAATTCCTGTATAGTAATGATCTTTTCCTTTGGGACCAGATCGATAAAAAGTATACCATTCAAGTGATCTGTTTCGTGTTGAATGACTCTTGCCGAAAATCCTTCTGCACGACCTCGAACGATATTCCCACTCACGTCTCTCGCTTCGTAGTTTATACACTTGTACCGTCTCACAGGCGCCGTGACTCCTTGCACCGAGAAACATTGTTCATAAGCGACTTCTGTTTCATCACTCGCCTTCTCGTAAGTAGGGTTGATCCAGACGGATCTAGGAAAACCTTTGACTCCTTCTTCTTCGTCGACTTTGAAAACTATCGCTCTTTTTGAAATACCGATCTGAGGAGCTGCAAGCCCAGCACAGTCTTTTTCATTGTCGAATTTCATTTCCAAAGTTTCTAGGTCCCGTTTGTCTTGTTCGCACAGAGGAAATGAGAGTGCAGCCGCTTTTTTCCGGATGGAAGAATCTTGAACGGCTTGGAGATTAGATACATTTGCCACAACGTAATTTGGCAAGGGAGAGAGATGTGAATCTTGCGGTTTTCCACTCGATCTATCAGCAACACTTGAAGCACCCAGGAATGCTACACGGTACAGAAACCAAAGAGCAACTAAAGGGTTTTCCATGATGGACTAGAAAATTCATGAATATTTAAAGTAGTATTCTTATCAAAAAACTTTTACTTTGATACAGCACAGCACAACTAAATAAACACTCCCAATCCACAGAAACAAACTTTTCCAGAACAATATCTAGCGTTCACTAACATTATCAAACATCAATTGGAGATTAAAAATTATGTAATTACTTTGTCTGTCTGTAGATTAGATCAGATTTAAACCGCAATGACAATGTTATTTAAAAACCATTAATGTTCAATATTAGCTATTGGCATTGCCTCTATTTTTTTTATTTCAGATTGTAAATTATACTTTATGTAATTGACAATATAAATTGTATCGACAGTACAATTAGGTTTTATTTATTTCCAACGGAGATCTCCATTTTGGGTTTAGTATTAAATCAAACTCTTTAAATTTTGATGAATTTGTCATTGAAGTCTTCCATAGAGTAGATAGCATTTTCAGTAAGGATTTGTTTTAATTTTATTTTGTATTCTTATAATTTTAAGTTTTGAATATTAGTTGGTAGTTTGTTAAATAATTTTTCCTACAGTTACCTAACAATGTACATGTTCTCTCACTGATTTGAGAAAGCAAAGTGGCCAATTCGCTCATCAGTGAGACAATGTTAACATTGTCTCACTCTAATTACTTTGTCTCACTCCAGATTTGCAACGTGAAGGCACGAAATAGTGAGCGCGTAGCCTGCAGGCAACGTCGTATGCGCGCGAAATATGTTGGCAGCACTGGCTGTAAATCAGCTGGTCAGCTGTTGTACTGTTGTATTTGTCACTTCACATTAAATGTTATATTAAAAGTTCACTTTTGTGTAAAAATAGGTTACGTTTCTTCACAAATTTATTTGTTTTATGGTAACTGTAGGAAGAGTATAATGTGCAACTCGAGTTCAAAGTACAATTGCCTCACTCGAGAAACCATTCCTCACCCGCCTACGGCTCGTGAGTAAGGATTTCTCTCGAGTGAGTCAATTGCTCACTTTTCTCACTAGTTGCACAAATAACTATTCTTCCGTTGTTTAAACATGTTTTTCATAAAACTTTGTTTGGTGGAAAGTAGAAGAAAATATTTGTAATAACAAATTTAACAATTGCGAGCAATGTCTCTGAACTGCATCAAAAGTAATAGGTTTTCATTAAAAACACAGAATTTTACACAAAACCTGCTGAGATAGTAGTAAAAAATAAATGTTATGAATTAATGTGCTAGCTAAGTAATAAATAAAAATAAAAAATAATGCATTTTATGAAAACCGTACACCGTTTGCTATTTGAATATTATTGTATAACAAATTAATTGTGTGTCAGTAAGGATGTATCTTATATGTAGGTCGGTTAGTTCTTATAGGCTATTATAAATATTATCAGATTTTAAAATATTACCGTATCTATAATTTAAAATTCAATTGCCCTTTATGGAACAAATTATCCTTACACACATAAAAAAAAAACACACATTGTTATATTCAACAGAGTTGTACTTTTGAAAACCATTTTGCTCCTGGACACAACGAATCATCAAGAAGTAGCTGGTGGAGAATAAGACACCATATTTTTTTATCAGTGCAGTAGAGTTTTTAATATCCGATTTTCACTTATCGACCTTTTGTGTTATACAATCTAGTACCGAGAAATTGTGTGGTATGATTGCGTCATGATACTATAGTGGGTATGTCAAGACAATCCCTATTCGCTGCCTCTGTCTGTATTGGAAAATACGTACCAGGCTTTAGGCGTCTGCACTTGATACTTGACTTAGTTCTTTTGATGTTTTAGTGAGCTACATACCACAAAGTGCATCAACCCTTATACCCTTATACAGTTGAACCTCTATAAGACGAATTTCAAGGGGTACGGGAAATATTCGTACAATAGAGGTATTCTTAATAAAGAGGGTCGTTTTATCGAGGTTTAATGCTGCTGTTATTCTTCTTATAGAGGTTTCTCCTTGCTCCAAGGTTTTTCCAAACAATGATTGAGGAAGGAGGAGGGATGGGTGGGGGTTTCATGTTGAGACAAGCTTCTGTTTGTTTTGAAAACTACGTACTATGGAGGTTAAGATTATGATAAATTCGTCTTATAGAGGTCACGTTCGTCTTGTAGAGGTTTTGTGCTAAGAATATTCGTTGTATAGAGGTTAATCAGTCCTAGCCCATGTCACAAACAAATTCGTCTTATGGAGGTTTTTAACTTAATTACTACGTTGTATAGAGGTGTTTTTAGCATTGACCTATATGAAAGTGTCAAGGGGATTAAAAAAAATTCGTCTTATCGAGGAATTCGTTTTAACGAGGTTCGTACAAACGAGGTTCAACTGTACATCAACCCACAAGTACATCAACCCTTATACTTGTTTATCTCTCTGCTACCCCTCATGTCTTAATTTTGGTGTGAATTGAGACATTTGGCTGAGTAGTTGTGTATCGCTTCATATCTTATATTTTACCATTACAATAATGTTTTTTTTTTAATTGACAGTCATTTTTTATGTAATTTGCAACGATGTTTTGAAATAATGAAAAAGTTAGTGGTTTTAGTATAGGCCTAAAAGAAATTAAAACCTTACATGGATTTGATATCCAAGAAACTGTATTCATTTAATGATTTTTAACATTCAATTTTGTTATTTTCCATGTAATTGACCTTTACACTTATCTGGATTCCATTTTGGTATGATAATTAATAGCTACTCTACTCTGCATCAATTGTGCAACCCCACAGAAGAAAATGCAACCCTAGAAATACGCCTGCAAAATTCAAACAGATTGTTAACCATATTTACGAAATGTGCTTAATGTGTTAAAGATGTAAGTAGGCCTACCTGGAGTTTCTGTTATTCTTGTTCCTCTTTCCGGAGGGACTGTCAGGAGGAGATTCAGGAGAAGGAGGCTGAGACGGCTCTTCTACAATGATCTCCTTCATCACTTCATGTCCACTACTGCAAACAGTTGGTTGAGTATGAGAATTTCATTAACTACTTCAAACAATATGTGTTGATTAAGAAAAGTTGCAAGTTTTAAGTTGACTTAGTATGAGATCGAGAATGGAAAATAAAGAATTTCATCTTAATAAAAGAAACATGACAAATCCATGTCTTTGGGATAAAATCAGTCAGTGAGTAGCAGTCTTACCTAGAGTCGGGATTTTTCTTGTCTTCTGTAGCTGGAGGCGTTTCATCAGCCATGGTCAGTATTTGATCTGCCTTGGTCTCATCGTAGTCCACACTGTCCAGAGCAATGGAGACAACTCTCTCGGCTACGTCAGGGTGTTTTTCCCTCAGCCGAACCTTCACTGCGAAACAACAAAACATTTTATCTTCAAAGATATGCTTTCATGGTTACATACTGAAGATCCGTGGTCTTTGGGTGCGACCTTGCCCAAAATAAACAATACACTAACACAAAATCAATATTCATCAACATCGTGGCTAAAATGTAGATAGACATATTTGGGTGACTTGACTTAAGTACAATTGACCAAGCATGCCAATAAATGACATATTACCGATTTCAAGTCACCATGATGGCACTATACACAGTTGAAATAATGAGGTTGAAGTGTTGGTGAATATAAGTGTTTTGTCCATTGTTACAAAACATTGTACAAAACAACAAAAACCAAAACCAAAACAAAAACAAAAAAACAAAAACAACAAAACATTATACAAAACATTGTCGTCGCCGCCCATAGACACTGATTTAACAGAACATCTGATAATGACAAAACCTACCTTAAATATAAAATTTAAAGCTCAGGACTTTACCTTACAGGCTTTTTTTAGCAAATTCCTCAACCTCATTAGGAATGAGCAAATAAGCTATTACCGTCCAGGACCTTTGTCCCCCATATTGAGGCGTTGTTCGCTTAATGGTTTTGAAGAAAATTCCCCAAAAAAAACTGCAAATTTAAAATTCCCTTATTATTTTTATGGAGAATAAGACAAATGTTGTAGTTTGCTTGTTTGCAGATGCTTTGGCAAATTTATTTATTTCATACCAAGTTCTTAATATATTTCACAAAAAATACACTTTCCTACCAACTCTGTAGCAGGAAACCTAAGAACTCGTTAAACCTAATATTAATGGGGAATAAAATTTGACAAAATTTTAAGGAAATATTTTAGTAAAAAAGCCAATCAGGCCAAAGATTAGGGAAATTCGCCTAGACTGTAGTCTTGCTGCGGTGGGGGTATTTTTTCATCTCATGTTTCAACAGCGTTGACATTTATTTTGTTAAATAATACTGTTGTTTATGTTCTTAAACTTAAAAATGTATATCCTACCATGGGTTTTTGATTAAATACATTTTGATAATTGCATAAAATAAGCCACTGCAGCTATAGTAATACCAGAAACAAAAGAACCCTGGGCCGTTTCGAGCCGCGCAGGTTTGAATGGTACGCCACACCTACCGGCGCGAACCACGTGATCTTTTCGTTTCTGCGCAGGTTGTTTTGTTCGTGGTATGTCTATAGCTTGTAACTTTTAGTATTTAAATATTTTGAATCAAAGGTTATTTCCATGTCACAAGCTTTCATTAATGTAAACCATTACATAATGTTTGAGTGGGTAACTTGACCAAACAAGAAATATTTCAGGAATAAAGTAGTCCTCAAACCTTAGGTAAAACCAATACTCACTCTCTTGCTTTTCTTCCACGCTCTTCATCCTGGCGGGGGGTGAGTGCTGCGGCACCGGGGGGGCAGACTGTGTAGAAGGTGTTTGTTTCTGAAGACACACTCTTGGCGGGGGCGTCGCCCGCTTGTCAAACCCCATAGACTGCAGCGTCTGCGTCGCACGGTGGACATTGTTGTCCGAACTGCTCAGAGTGTCAAGCAAAACTGTCTCCTCAACCACTGGGAATACACTCTTCAGGTACCTAGGCAACATACGGGAGTCAACTAGAATGCTTAATGAAATACTACAGGCACTGAGCACTTTTTAGGTACAGTATAGGGTAGTAAGCACCAGTTAACCTTGTGCGATAAGCAAGAGTTTTTTTTATACTTATTCGGTCAGGTAGCTAGCTGTAATGGCCGCTATCTTTTGTACAGCAAGTAATATAAATTTCACATTATTATCTTGCCTCTCGGATAGCCAGTGATAGATCATGTCAATTAGGATGGCCAGTGAGATTGATGAGGGGAATGTTCCCAACAATACTGAGAGTCACACTCGATGCTGGTGGTATTCAATTAATCCAATGGGAATAAGTTGTTGAGGTGTCTTTTTGGCCTCTGGGGACATCAAAATGAAAAAGTAAATCAATCCCGAGCCTAGGTCTTATCAAGTTTAAACCTTCGGCAATAGCGTCTTCCCTATGGGGAAATTCGCTAAAAAGCAGCAGTGGTGGGGGAAGGGTTCTTGTGTGCATGCTCATCCCGCTGCCACTCTAATTGACACAATCTATACTGGCTAACATGGAAGCACTATTGCTTTGACCAGATATTTTAACTGAATGTTGTTTGTTTAGATTCTCCTAGCGATGCAACCTAAGAGCCTAAGCAAATTTGAAACTCAAGTAATTCTAAGCTGGTAGAATTCTGCACTGGAGCCAAGATGGTTTGCAGAGAGAGGTTGCCAAAGGTAATGGCCATGGACTGATGTTTAAATTAACAACACGGCCAATACAACTGGCCAACCGAAAGCAAAAGGATTAGGTAGGTAAGATAACCTTCGGCGTTTAGACCAGGCAAAATCAACCATCCTTACCCATTCTATACAGTGATAGGGGTAACTTATATTTACATTTTTCCTAACATCGGAAGTTAAAAACAGTTGAATATTACAAACTATTTTATACAGTAAGAAGCCAAAGAATGTACAGTAGAGATATAAGTTGATAAGTTTGTTTATTTGTGTAAAGTTTACTTATTTGTATAAGTACTACTTATTTTAGTTTGTTTGCTCTATCTTGAGTTTTAAATACTCCCTGTACGTAAATCTTCAATCTACTCCATAGTTTGACATTTCAATATTTCAAAACCCTCTTAGTCCACAAAGTGTCGAACCATCGAGGTTCTACAGTACACATAACAGCTTAATATATTGATTGGTTTGCAGTTTTAAAAAGTCAAAATAATGATAATATTTAACCTGTAATTATTAAGTACAGTAACTTATTACCTTTGACTATTGTATTACCATATCTTTACAGCAAAACAAGTCAAGTAATACTTGATGCCAGCAAATATGTACAAGAATACATTGGATTGTCAACAAAATTCTTAGCATTTGGTTTGAATTGTAATAAGTAATGAACATTTATATCAACATAGATTAATGTTATTTAAAAATCTTTAACACTGTTCAACATGCTACACATAGGGGACAAATTAAAAATTAAGAAAGGGTTGTTGTACATAATATGATAACCTACCATACGGTACTAAATTCACAACAAAAAACATGGTAATCATTTATGCATAGCAAGTTCAAAAGTATAATACTTAATAAATGCAGGCATAAATTAATCAGCTAATGGAGACAAGATGGGTGAAATGATTTTAATATACATCTATAAACGTTGATCAATTGTATGTTATAAGCATTTTTCTATCGAGATAATATTTAAAAGAATAGGTAACATAACTTATTTTGTTACAATTCAAAACATGTTAAAAAAACATGTTATTTGAACTCGAAAGAGTGAGGTTAAAGATCTAAGCTAATGAACGAGTTAAATAATTCTCAATTTAAAAAGTTAGAGATGGTTACATAAAGACTGATGATAAAAAAAACTATTAACAAAAAATTAGGACGATTATTTTTATACCACAGCTATTTGTAGAGTCAAAATAAACACTATTTAAAATAAGTATCGCTGTCTAGCAGACGAATCTAACTACAACTACAACCTAAAATAAACATATAATATACATGCCTCAACAAAACAAACACAAAGAAAAGACACATCGACTACGGCATTCCGGGACACCTAGGGGAGAGTAAAACCTGAGCTTCATCTTGGGAGATGAGTGGGGACGAGGTGAGAGTCGAGGGGGGAGGAACCCTGCTCTAGGGGTGCTTGGAGGGGTGACAGCGTACAACCCCACCCCCGGGAGAGTACGGGCACCCATGGGTGGCGTGTAGGGTCCGGGTGTGGTGAGCGGGTGTTTTTCCACCTGCAACGCACTCATAACCACGGCCTCACGGTTGTGGTACCTGCGGACATACGGTAACCGAGGCAACTGTGACATCATGGCTCAGACATAACTGTGGCAACACGGCTGCCGAACCATCCATTATGATTGGTGGATACATTGTTTTTAAAATGTTTTCAGCTGTTTATCAAATATTTTGTTATCGGTTAGCTAAACAGTAAGAAAGAAGTTGACAGCAACACCAACACAGTGACACCACAGTATATTGTTTCATATTGTTGGTAGATAATTTCCAGCATCCATACTCAATGGTCCTAAAGTCCTACTCAAGTAAATGTAATTATATTCACAGTATAGCTATGCTATGAGAAAAAAGTTAACCTTTCTTTTATGCAGTTGGGTTAGTCACACAAAATTGAGAAAAAATTTACTTTGAAAAATAGGTCTATATTAAATTTAAGGATCAGCCCACCTATGAAGATTTTAAAATGCAATGTTTTTCTGATTGCATTGACAAAAAAAAACACTTTTTTGATTAGCTAACAAATGTTTCATTAGCCTACTCACTTGAGCAGTAGTGTGCGGATGTGTGTTTCGCTGACAGTGGGAAACATCGAACTTATCTTAGCTACAGTCTGGTCTGTGGCTGCTTGCTTGTTGTCTGACGCTGCGCTCTGTTGACGTTTCAGAGAATTGGTTCCCATCATCAGACCCAGCCGATGATTTGCTGCTGATGTGAAGTCCTGAGGAGAAGATAGACATTTATTTTCTATAAAAATGTACATTATTCTCTTATATTTTAAACTGCCCAGTGTTGGAAAAGGTTTGTAGGCTAATCATAGTCAAGTTCTTAAAATAAAGAAAGCACTTAAGAAATTTCCCCTTGACTTCAAATCGTCTGACTCTGGCTTATTTTCCCTAGAGATATTACTTTTTAGTTTTGAAAGGTTAAGCTTGAGCTTGAGGAAATGCATTAACTTTTTAATTAATAAAAATTGAACCCACTGATCTAGATCTTGAGGATTTGATAAATGATTCTGGCTACAGAAACACTTACTGTTTTAGTAACAAAGCTACAAAGATGTCTCACTCCTCTTTATTTACATTTAAGTTAAAAAACGTCTTCTCCGTTTATAAAATCACTAACCTGTGACTCCCATCTTAAATGGATTAGATACTGATAGTTAATATGACAAAGTTGAGGTGTAGGGACTAGCTGATAATAAAACCTACGGATAAATATATTCTAGCATTATAAGCCAACATAACTTACCTGCAGCGGAATATTTTCTGTATGTTGTACTCTAGGATCTTCCATGCTCGTATGTCGTGTAAAATAGTTGATATAATATCTGAAAGTAATTGTAAGGTAGGTAATTTATTAGAATTCTTAACAATAATTAATGTGATATGCTAAGTACCGTAACTGCCTGGTACATTGCTTATGTAAATAATTTGAAAGGATGCATTATCTACATAAATTGATAGGTTGTTGTCTAAGTATACATACAATAATTCATTCAATGTATCAGACTAGTGCACCTGTTGCTCGAATTCGAGCAATTGAAAAATATTAAAGGTGTTATTTCAAAACGAATAACAGTCACAATTTCCGATTAGCCTACTTAAAAGAGTCAACTAAAAGATGATGTAATCAATCACTCCACTCCAGTTATCGAAACTGGAAACAAACTCACTCTGAAAACGAAGGCTCACTCTACTCCAGTTATCGACACTGAAAACGAACTCACTCTAAAAACAAACGCTCCTTGTATGTATCATGTGTTTACTATGAACAGCTGTAATTAATACAACTTATTCGTCTGTTTAAGTAAACAAAAAGACTTTTCTTCATGAGAAATACATTGGGATTTTGATGGCCTGTGGGCGAAGCCCAAAGACTTTTATTACAGGAATTGGTGAAAGGGGGTGTCTACACAAAAAATACTTCATTTTGACACCTCGTTTGAAAAAATCCGGCCATTATTAACGGAGGAGTAGTGTTTCGTAGAAATCGCCTTCACGTATTATATATAAGGATGATTGATTCAATCACTAGATTTCAAGATTTCAAGTGTAACATTTTAAATATTTATTTATTGTTTTCCTTGTTTTTATCAATTCTTTTGTCTGAAAAATTATAATTAGTTATTAGTCAAGTTGACACTAGGCCTAAGGCCTAAGCTATTCACTTTTGTTCTTATTTCTTATTTTCTTCTTTTTTATTTTGAAAATCACAACCATTAATAACACATAATAATTGATCAGCTTATAAAGAAATCAAACTAAACGACCTAAGCAGGAATAAAATTTAAGTAAATTTAAAATTGCAAAGCTGAGCTGAAAGCTTTAGCTGTTAATTTACATAAGTTACTGTATTGGTAACCTAGTTGATGAAGAGAGACGATCTACAGCAATTCATTTGTTATTTAGCGAACAGATACAGTGGATCAACGACAAACTGCATCAGAACTATGCCTAACGTCATTGACTATATATACCTCTAACGTTTAACGTTTAGGTCAGTGCCCTTGCACAGAATGTGTGGATTAGCAAAGCAGTACCAAGCAAGTGTTTCCGCAAGCAGGATTTTTATTTCAAGAACAGAATTCTTAGACCATGTGCAGGATAAAAATGGCATGCAGAAGTAAACAAGACTCTTTACCTTTAATTTTATTTTTTTGCAGGATTTTTAGATTTAAGTCAAGATAAAAACCATCCAGAATTAATTGATAGTTTTAATTGATAGGTAGATGCAGGATAGTACCTACTATGGCAAGGTTTAAAGAGATTGTTTAAAACAAGATAGCCTACTTCAAAAATATCACTTGGGATAGAACCAGATTTTTTACGAAATTCATGCAAGACACAAAAGGATTTTCCGTCACGCTAAAACAGGATAAAACAGGATTTTCTCGACCTGAAAAGCGGGTTTTTTTTCTGGTCTTGTGGATACACTGGTGCAAAGACCCTTTCTTATTGTGAGAAAAGGCAAGAAGGATAAGGGTCTATTAGTTTTTTACATGGTTTGCTTAAAAAGGAAAACATGATCTACTAACCTCTTTCCTGAAACATTGTCATATTTACAATCCCAGCCAGGTGGTAATGGGTTTACATCAGATACATTTAAACTAGCCATTCTTGAATCTCAACTGGTAAAGTTAAAGGAATATTTATTAATTATAACGTGGACTGCTAATTTGCTAAGAGAAAAATTCAATAATACTAGGCCTAATGGAGAGACAAATTCGATAGAAGCTAATCTAATATTTAAGAACAGGAGTCACTGCACGAATTAAACACACGCTGGAAAGAAACTACTCTCTCATCACTGGATGTTTAAAAATAATTCCTTGATTAACACTTATAATGCTTCTCTAAGGATATTTCCTGTTTATCTTGTTTATCAACAAATGAGTTTTATCTTGGTTGACATTTCTTCAAATCAATACAAAACAACCACTTGCAGACGAGAAGCTATATTAGCAGCAGGATCAGGATAGCCAACCTCTTAAGTTGAAATTCAAACTACCTCACAAAATATTATCTATAAGAGTGACAATCATCTCAAATGTTTCCAGATAAAAGTTTTTCGTTGAAGTAACATAAGTAGGAGAATAAAATGAAAGAAAAAAATTCTTTTTATTTCAGGAAACAATCCATTAGCTGGTATTATAGTGTAGTATCAATTCAAACCTACTTATTACACCATGGGATACTATATCGACAATCATTATTTTGTCTTTTGTCGTCGTACCCGTACGTACAGCACAGCTGATCGTATTCGTAATATTATGTCAATGTTGTCAGTGTCACTGATATGTGATTTTAACCTTAAATTTGACTTGGTACATAGAAAACACTAATGGAAAGAACATTTTAGTAGATTACAAATTTATTTTAACATAGTGAAACGAAGCTATTCATTTAAGTTAGAGAATCAGTAGCATAATTAGATAAAATAGGCCTGATTAACAAAATGTATGACTCACCTGGCTCACTTCAAGATGTATGTGTTGACTTTATTTGTGAAAATCTGGGCTCTTTATGTGAAGTAACCTCATCAACTGTAGCTGTAGCTACAAGTAGGCTTGAATCATCACCTGTAGACAAAAGTGTTGACGAACAAAGACAAAATGCAAGAGTTCCAACAAATGGAATTAGGGTAGTTTTTAAGGGCAGTGAAATATTTTTACACACCGAAATAGCAGAACAACTACTTACTGCATTGTGTGCCAAAAAGAAACTCTGTGATCAAGTTATGTCTCTTTTTGATGTTAGTACTACAAGATTAAGGTAATGTTGGCTATCTACCTACAAAGCTGATCATTTAGGGTAACTTTAGCTGAAGTTGTTTGTGCTAGCTAAGTGAAATGTAGCGTAGCCTACTAACTTAGTATCCAAACGATTAATACAATTTATTTTCAATGAGTTTTTTTAGCCTCTGCATTACTGTAGGCGTATTATGTACCTAAAATGGTTTAAAATACCTGCTTAATTATAGTAGGCTTATTGTAATCCTTGGCCGCTGTAATGGCAACTAATTTAGTTTCAGTTCTTGATCTGAACCATCATCAGGCCTACAAGGGCTGCACTTTAGTTTACGTCCTACACTAATTTGAATGAAAAATATCGATATATATATAGATTATTCGGGTACACTTCCATATCTGTTGGCACAACCGAATGAGTAATATTGATTATTCGATTGTTTAATTCGATACTATGGTTTGGTTAGTTAGGTTAGGTTAACCTTACCTAACTAACCAAACGATATATCGAAAAATCGATATATCGATCGATATTTTCTTTTGGTTGTTTGTGCCAACAGATATGGAAGTGTACCCGATTATTCAATATATCGATCAATATTTTCATTCAAATGAGTGTAGGAGGTAAACTAAAGTGCAGCCCTTATAAGGTGTCAATTAATCACTTCATTTGAAGGTTATCTACAGAGTTCTATAAATAACACCCACACACACAAGACAAGAGTCACAAAACAAACAAACTTTTATACAAACAAAATGAGAGACAAAAGAGAACGTGACCTGGCTGAAGTAAAGTAGCCTACCTTAAGGTAGAATTTAGCATAAATAGGCCTATTTCCTTTCAGAAAGAAGCTGCTTTTATAAGTTACCTAACCTTTTTATAACAAAACTCATGAAAAATATAACACGGATATAAATTGACATCTTTGTAAATTTATCATACAGTAGGCCCTATGGTACCGGCTATTTCTAAAAAAAAAAACTCGGCGTTGGCCAATCAACTTGTTTTCATAAATGTTACCTTGTTTGTTGTTATCATAAACAACCCCTGCCACAGAACAGTGTAAAAGATTCTTCTTAAAAGATCGTATGGTTAATATGCATTTTAGGGTTTGCACGCGATTTTTGAAATTTTTTTTTTCATTCTACTCGAAATTTAACGCTGATTCCGAAAATGACGTTCTTTTTCCGCGGAAAACGACCATAACGCGGAAAAACGACCAAAACGACCAAAATATTTTTTTTAACAAAACACGTCATGTGGGTACTCAAATTAACCGGAATATTTAGCAGATCACGACTATGCAAGAATTTTTTGGATCCGAGGTCAAATAAGCGAGATATTCACGAAAACGTGATACTACCAGCAATAACTCCAACTCACTAGGGGACAGGTGGGAATTCGGGGTTTTGGGTGGGGGAGACATCTAACGTGGTTTATCGTTGTAATTTAATGTGTAAAAAATAATGGGTAATTAGTCGGGAGAATTATGGGAGATATGCTTGAAACTGGGAAATTTTTCAGTACCAACCTATTCATTGGTTGTAGTAGCACTACCACGTTGCTCGTTAGGTTAGGTTAGGTTGGTTAGGTTAGGTTAGTTTAGGTTGGTTAGGTTAGGTTAGGTTAGGTTGATTAGGTTGGTTAGGTTAGTTTGGTTAGGTTAGGTTGGTTAGGTTAGGTTAGGTTGGTGTGGTTGGTTAGGTTAGGTTGGTGTGGTTGGTTAGGTTAGGTTGGTTAGGTTAGGTTAGGTTGGTTAGGTTAGTTAGGTTAGGTTGGTTAGGTTAGGTTAGGTTAGGTTGGTTAGGTTAGGTTAGGTTAGGTTGGTTAGGTTAGGTTGGTTAGGTTAGGTTAGATTGATTAGGTTAGGTTAGGTTAGATTGATTAGGTTAGGTTAGGTTAGGTTAGGTGAGGTTGGTTAGGTTAGGTTGGTTAGGTTAGGTTAGGTTGATTAGGTTAGGTTAGGTTAAGTTAGGTTAGGTTGGTTAGGTTAGGTTAGGTTGGTTAGGTTAGGTTAGGTTGGTTAGGTTGGTTAGGTTAGGTTTGGTTAGGTTGGTTAGGTTAGGGTAGGTTAGGTTAAGTTAGGTTATGCATAGTATCATCCCTTTTACCTGTTAAATTAAAACATAAACAATTATAATAAAATAATGACCAGCTGATCCTGATCAGCTGTTATTTTAACACAGACAAAAGTTAGAGCAAAAATCCAAAATAGCATCGCATATTTACGTGAAAATCTCGCTTATTTGACCTCGGATCCAAAAAATTCTTGCATAGTCGTGATCTGCTTAATATTACGGTTAATTTGAGTACCCACATGACGTGTTTTGGTAAAAAAAAAAGAGTTTTTGGTCGTTTTGGTCGTTTTTCCGCGTTATGGTCGTTTTCCGCGGAAAAAGAACGTCATTTTCGGAATCAGCGTTAAATTTCGAGTAGAATGAAAAAAAAAATTTCAAAAATCGCGTGCAAACCCTAAAATGCATATTTACCGATCGTATAGGTAGCTTGAAATGTTAGTATTTTTTAATACTTAGGACTACAATCTATATAGGTACCGGTACCTAAGTTAACTTATATTGTCTGAAAACAACATCTGATACGATCTAGCCTATAGGATCGAACTAATTTTTCATCCAATAATTTATCGTAGGTTCTCTTCAAAACTGCACCCACAAGTCCAGGGCTTGGACCGTTTCCCTACAAAAAAGGTTTATCAATACCACCAATGCGTGGATAAACACAATATACTAAATGAGCATGTTGATTTTTTCTCTAACATGCTTTGACTATTTATTAAATGTGTTTTTGTATAACCCTACAGGCTTATGAGTTTATCTTGTAGGAAATCAAACCCACATAAACTAACCCAAAGCATCCAAGGATATCACTTCAAGTTGTCTGACATTCATATTCAACATTTTTGTTATCAGGAGAGTTTGCTTATCGGATGCTAGTCAACTGACTTTACGTGGGCTTAAAGTTTTAAGAGCCCACAAAATAACCGACCTAGAGACACAAGGATTGAAAGTGACTGTCAATGACCTCATCGGCTGTTTAGGAGAGTGGACACTGCAGAACCTACGCTCCCTGAACGTAGCACACAGTGCATTTATGGATGGACCAAAGTAAGCTTGTGTTTCATTTATTAAGATTTAGAATCTAATAGCAGGATTTAAAGTTATGGTTTTCCCTTTTTTACCCTAAAAACATAAAGTTTTGTAATTTCTTTCTATAATATTTTTTAGAGTTTAAAAAACAAATAGCCTGATTTAGTATATTGAAGCGTTATTAATGTTATTATGCGCCTAATAATATAATGGGTAAGGAGAAAATTACAAAAATATGTAACTATATAAACTTCCCATTTTATTCTTATGGAGAATAAGTTGGTCAGGTAAACTTTAGTAGTGTGCTTGTTTATAAACATATTTTGATCAGATTTAAAATTTCACAAAAAATTTTTTTTACCCTCCCTGTTGCAGCAAACCTAAGTACTCGTTAAACTAATACTATTTATATAGGAAATAAAACTATAGATACTTTGAAGGAGATATTGTAGTGTTTGTTAATTCAATCGGGCAATTTTCCTTAGTCTGCAGTTGCGCTGCGGCAGTGGTATTTGTTTTTACTTTTCTCATTGTAGCAAATTAATAACGTTAAAACTGCATTAAACAATACAGGAATACGGATAAAACAACACTGTGTGTACCATACAACCCTATACAAATGGGTTACCGGTATGTAGTGAAGAGACCATAAAAATAAAAACAAAAACGAATCTGAACGAAGGGTGTTTGTACTCTATACCCAGTGGCGTAGGCAATGGGGAGTGTTTGGGGGTCATAAACCCCCATTTGACAAAATTATTTCGCTGCCATCGCAGCAGACGATAATTATCTGGAAGATGTTTTGAAGTCAGACAAAATTCACATACATTTCCCGATTTCCCAGTTGGCTAAACATCCCACATCTGTGTAAGGGCGGAACTGAAATATTATAGAAATTTTTAGATAACATTTTTAACTCTTCTTTTTAATGACCCTTACTGTCCCCCCCACTATTGACCCTTTGTTTCCTTAACCTCATTGTTTCTGTCCTAAAGATTACAAGGTTGCCCTCAGACCCCCTCCTGGGCTCTATGTTAAACCCTTCTTTACATAGTCCTGGCTACGCTACTGTCTATACTGTAACCAATATTTATGTAGGCCTAATTTCCGTAGAACTTTTACCATACAGGTCCATTTAATTAAACTGCAATCGATGGTATAATATTTTCACTTAACATTCTGTGATGTTTTAGAAAGTTAGAATCTATGGTTGTTTTGGCAACAAGCCTTAGTCTACTCAGTTGACGATCAAACTGCTCTGACTTACCTGACTCAGCTGTGTTCTTTTTCCAGATACTGTGTTGTTGTTGCGCTCGCCAAGTTACAAGCCCTGCAGACCTTGAATGTGAGCAACACTGACTTCAACCGTCATGGACTAGAGATTGTAGCTTCCGATCTACCTCAGCTGGAAAACCTGGACATCTCAAACACTAGGGTTGATGATATAACACCTTTGAAAAAGCTCAAACACAGGCTTAAATCCTTGGCCATGTATAATCTAAAGGTAAACACAGGCTCAAATCCTTGGCCATGTACAATCTAAAGGTAAACACAGGCTCAAATCCTGCCATGTACAATCTAAAGGTAAACACAGGCTCAAATCCTTGGCCATGTATAATCTAAAGGTAAACACAGGCTCAAATCCTTGGCCATGTACAATCTAAAGGTAAACACAGGCTCAAATCCTTGGTCATGTGCAATCTAAAGGTAAACATCGGCGATAAACTCACCCTAATTGTAATTTTACAAAGTCTTTTTGTAATATGTTATCATTCTTGTCTATCATTTAGCTCCTATGTTTTATGAGAATACCTGAACCTGTTTTGTGATATCAATCCAAACAAGAATAACACTCAGTTCTTAACTTTGCTTTTGATGTGAGCTCTACATGTTCCTAAGTGTTAATATTTGTTGTAATTGCCTTGAAATAAATCAAATGTATTGTCTTACAGTATATCTTAGTTGCATCCAAAGAGGAGGTAGTGGCTGAAATGACTGAGCTTCAAACCCTAGACATGTCGGAAGATCGAGACAACCACCCTTTTGAAATGTTTGTCTCCATTGCGTCCAAGACGAATGAATTTTTAAACAAGGAAAGAGTTTTGGATAAGTTAACATCACTGGATATTTCAGGTAATATTTTGATTACGGAGTGCTGGGAAAGATTATGATTGTAGAGTGTTGCATGTTGACGAACAAGTTTGGGGTATGATATCTGATTTTGACTACTTTTCACGTTTTTTTTATTTCAGGAAAGGATGAAATCGGTCGTAAAGAGTTGAAAGGATTCGTCAGACGTCATCCCCACTTGAGGTTCCTCGGACTTGTGCATTCCGAGGCTTGCTACGATGATTGCTTCATCAACCCTCGAAATCCCGAGTACAACCCCAACCTTCAGGTAGGTGTAATTTGGGGTAGGCTATTGGGGGTATTGAGAGCCCTGTTCTGATTTATTGTTAAATACTAGAATAAGATGGTAGAACTAAGTAGGCCTACCAGTAATAGATATAATACCAGAAATGCACAATATGTTATACAAAACAGACATAATTTAGAATTTTATAAAAAAAAAACACAGTGTATAGAAAGAGGCCTTAGATATATAAATCTTTTACCAAAAGATATAAAAAATGAATGTAATAGTAGGAAATTTTACTTTAAACTAAAAAAAATTCCTAGTAGAAAAAGCAATTTACTCCTTTGAGGAATTTTACAATTTAAAATATTGTGAATAGACAATAAGTACTCACTGACTCTATTCTTTGTACTTGTACATTCATGAATAAAGGAGATTTTGATTTGATTTGATACTTAAAACCCCTCGGGTTTAATCTTGTGCGGTTTGTGTATAGGTTGCTGGGACTGCGACAGAAGAACAGATAATCTTGGCATTGAGACGCTACTATCACCGTCCACTGTATGTCCAGAAGTGTTTGTATAACCTATTTAGACTCACTCCTACTTTCTCGGACACCAGGGTTGACATTATAAAGGTTCGTAGATTCCTCTTTTATGTTTAAACAAAAGATTGGTTTTGCCATTAATTTAGTCATGAATGGTTGGATGTTCTTTGAAGATTGTTGTTCTCAATGATTGTTTGTGGTAAATGATACCATAGACAAATAGAATAAATAAAGACTGTCAAGGGATGGTTCCGGCGCCCACCGCTAGGAGTGCCGTGTAGTTAAAAAGCGCATACTGCTACAGACGAAGAGTGCAGGAGCCGTATGCTACCAGCAGACGCTGCAGCGGTGTTCGCTGTAGCTACACGGCACTCCTAGCGGTAGGTGCCATAACCTATGCTAACCGCAGCACTGCTGACGGTCTATATTTATTCTATTTGTCTATGTTGATAGCTGTGTTTTCAACAAATAACAACAATATCACCAGGAAAAAATATTGAAAGAACACAAATTTTTAATGTGAACAAAGAGCAATTTCACAATGGATGTTGATGTATTCATCACAAGGCAGAAGATAACCTTAATATCTGGAAATAGTAACTTTTGTATGTCGTAAGAGTCATAATGAAATTGTGATTGCGGAAGACAATCACTGTTTTACTACGATTTTATGAGATGGACACAATCTCCACAATCTTTGTATGGATCGATATGCTAACATTCTGCTAGAATAAGATATCTAGCATAGTGGCGAAAGTTGTTCTGAAAAGCTGTTGTACCAGAGAAAACGCTTAATAAAGACATTTTTTGAGACAATGCAATAGTAAATTCTCAATACCTACAACACTACTTGCCTGTTTTACAGTTAGTTTTGCCTGGGATGAAGTTACACCCGCAGTCTTTCGGAGTGCAAATGGCCGCCACAGCCTGTCTTTACAACCTGACCAAGGGGGACTTGGCCGCTAGGATACACCCTGCCGTGTTGGCTAAGGTAAAAGGAGAACATGACATTTGCCCAAAATATATTGAAAACTACATTTGTTCTTGGTACATGAGTGTTTATAAAGTTTGCCTCGTGTTCAAAAGATTCAAAAACTTGTTTCAACAAGAAACAAAGCTAAATAAGTGTACGGTACAATTTACGTTATAATACTAAAACTTACAAGTGACAGAACACACTTAATACATCTTAATAGTTATTGTCAAATGGATCCTATTTTGATAGTAAGAAATAGACCCCTTGACTTTTGAACTTTTATTTAATGATTCTGGCTAAAAACCAGTTGATTTTTAGTAACTGCATTACCCTATCATTCATTCAAAATTCATCATTTTACATTAACCCTTTGCGGTCGAATGGCGAGTATAGGTCGCCGCCCGCCATTTTCCTGACTGCTCAAAAATGGCGACCTATACTAAAAAAAAAAATCAAAAAAGTTTATTTTTGCTGTCGAATGGTGAGGATATGTTGCTGGGCGCCATTTTCCTGACTGCTTAAATGGCAGTTATATACTCGCCGAAAAATGAAAAAATTGACCTTAAAGGGTTAAATTACACCAGGTTTGCCACCAGTCCTGATTCTGCCGGGACAGTCCCGATTTTGGTTCCTTATGCCCGTATTTAAGCCTATGTTAATCCGGGAGGGAGGGGGCAATGTCCTGATTTTTCCCTGACCTAAGGTGGCAACCCTGAATTACACATTCTGGAGTATTGAAATCCCCTTTGACATGGTTGGAAGTTAGAACTAGACACCCCATTCTCTCTCGCATTAAATTTGTAGTCAGCGTAAAAAAATAAAAACTATTTTTATTACTTATGTCAGCTTATTAACCAAAGACACTAGAAAGACAAACTATTGCCATTGCTAACTGTAGCTTCTTTAAAACACAACAACTATAACTAAAGATAATAATATAATTCCAGACTATATCAAGCTCTGTGAGTGGATTGTGTGGTAAATTTGATGTAATTTCTTAATAATTGGCTACAGTTCCATGTACATGGATTATCTACTTCAGTATTCATTCAATGAACAATAAATCAATTACAATAAATCCAGTGTAATCTGTTGTGAATGTATGCCTCAATGCAGTGAGAAGTTCCTTTGGCAGCTGATGACAGATTTGTTGATTGTAGGTGGTAGAACTATCTCTGGTTGCCATGGAGAACTTCCCTAACCACTACCAGCTGCAGAAGAATACCCTGCTTACTCTGTGCAGTGACAGGATCCTACAGGATGTCCCGATAGAGAAGTACCGCTGTGCTCGGCTGGTGCTAGACTCTCTCTGCGCATTCGAGGACCCGTCCATGAACAGGATGAGCGTAGCTATCTGTAGCATTCTAGGTCAGTACACAAGTCTAATTGGGTAGTTGTGTTGGAATAAAAACTAAGTGAAATTAAATAAATACTTGAATACTTTCAATTGAAACCATGCTATCTTAGGTATTTTAAGCCAAGTATGAATGGAGATGAGTGTAGGATAGGTGGTGCGATCTTTTAGTCTTGTTAGTGACTAAGGCCGGCATGTTCCTTAGGCAAGACTGATAATTAATAGCCCATAAAGCCAATGGCAACTAAGGGACCTACAGCTTATAGTGGAATCCGAACCACATTTTTGCTATACTCAGCTGGGATTGTATAGTATATTGAATCGTAGACATCCTCCATGTTAAAGCTGCCAGTTTTAGTGTTGAGGTTAATTGAGACATCGACAGAGTGCAATGTTATCTATTGATTTCTTTTAAATAGGCAAAATTTCTAACCAACCAAAATTAAAAGGACAAGTTATTGCAAGCTAAAGGAGAAAAACAAACGTTGATAGCGAAGCACTCTGTCATAGCGGAGCACTCTTTCATAGGGGAGCACTCTGTCATAGTGGAGCACTCTGTCGTAGCGGAGCACTTTGTCAGTGGCTTATTCAAGCCCTATCGTGGTAAAAAATTGGCTACAGCCGGTCCATATACAGTGGGACTCCAACTAGGCCTATCCCATTCGCTTACTTTCCGAATCAAAATGCCTTGATTCTCAAGCTCTTCTCAGTGCAAACTGGTTTACAGAATTACTCACTTCAAACAAATATTAAACCAAACGAATATGGATTTTTATTAGAAAATAACTTAAAGCAAGGTAAATTAAACAATAAGGCTAATCTCTTACAGACAAAATTAAAAACCTAATGCTACAATTTTTGCCAAGGTCCCTTTTTCAAACACAATTTTTCACTCTTAGCTTATAATTCTTTACATCTGAACACCTTAAACAGGTAGACCATATGCGCCCTTTGTCAACAAACAAATAGTAATAATTTTACTGTTGTTGAGAAAACATTTAAAATAATATTATCAAATTGCATTGGCAGCCGCTAAGATCTCGACCTGTGAGACGTCTAGGCTGGGCAGCCGACAGCCGTACATGAGGAAGCTACTGAGTCTTGTCCGAGGCAAGATGGAGACTAAGACGGTAGACATCACCATGAAGTTTACCCTCAGTGCTTTGTGGAACCTCACAGGTAATCAAACTTGTCTTTTTATCTGTAGCTTGATTTTCTCGTAATTTTAGATTTAAAATTAAAATGACAGTAAACGAGTAAACCCTCCTACTCTAATGGGACGGGCCCCTAGGTTAGATAACCTAAATAAGGTTGACTGAATGGGAAACTATGGAATAAAATAGCCTACTGTAGAAATTAATTTATTATATTATGTCTTAAAGATAAACTCAAGTGCTTAATTTCAGTTATTGCCTTGTTTTAATTTTTTTCTCATAAAACATAAAAATATTCTCTACTCAAATAACAATTAAAGTATGCAACATGATTGTCAACTTGTGTACCTAAATATATTAACTGTGGCATAGCACAGAGAAGTAAGGAGGGTGTCTAGCACTATTGCTGGTGTCTAGGTCCAAGTCCCGCACCAGCCCCTTACCCTCATGGAGGAAGACCCTGCGCCCTGTGCAATAGGATTTTCCACTCGTCCTTGCTTGTCATAAGCATATTTCCAATACACACCAGAGCTGAAAGTACACGGTTGTCCCATAAGCTTGTTTCCTCTGTACCTTACTTATCTCTGGGCATAGAAAGACAATCCGTCTCTTGTATACTACAGTACTTCATATTTTAGAAACTGTTAGGAATACTTTATATAAAACTCTCACAGAATTACTGTATTCATAAAAACTCACAACCACACTCTAAAACTTACAAAAAAGTCAATCAATTTTTATTTGATCTTTTTCTGTTGTAAATTTTTTGCGCATTACAAAATTAAATTAGCAAGGACAGATTTCTGTTTTATCACTGCAATAAGGATGAAAACGGAAGTCCCTAGATTCCTGGAAAAAGTCGGTCAACCCAACCGGTTTTAAAACTCAGGGTGGATGGGCACTGTTTTATGCCCAAGCACAGGGGGTAATCTAGGGTCGGTTAAGAGAGGGTGTGACTTTAAGCAGCTGGAATACCTTTTCCTCATGCTTACAGATGAGTCTCCGACGACGTGTATAATGTTCCTCAACGAGGGAGGCTTGGACCTGTTCCTGGGAGTGCTTGTGGCGTTCCCAGGAGAAGCAACGGTGGAGACTAAGGTGCTCGGGCTGATCAACAACATCGCGGAAGTGCCTGAACTGAGGACTTATCTGCTCAAGGCTGCGTTCATCGATCTTCTCAGGTAAATCCTCGGCAACAGCATTTCATCTGTTTGGCCAGTTGTGACAAGTTAAGGGGAAGATGAAATGGGTTGCTGACTTTAATGTTATGAATAAATGAAAAATGAAATAAACAAATGAGGATATTGTGCTATTCAAACTTTGATACTAGAGCACTAGATCAGGCTTCCCGTGTATATAAACCAGCTGTAACAGATTCCTTTTTTCAAAAAGACTTGAATGAGTCGCACACAGAGTATGCTACAGTCTAATTTATACTTTCTATTTTTGACCCTTTGATATTCAATGTGACATCAAATATGCTTTAGTGTATGATAAGCTCTTTTCCCAGTCTGGCTCAGTAGAAGTTTGGTATATGATGGGAATCAGTTATATACAGCAACACACTCTCAGTGGCTCACTCAACTTGTGACGCATAGCGGCACGCTATATTTTTTTATAGTGTGTGCAGTTCGCGAAGCCGGGCTGCATGTTCATCTCGTTGCCTGCCGCGACTGCATCAATGCTCTATCCCCACCTTTCCTAGTTTTTGTCCTCCTTCTTCGTCAACCGGCATCTGGACAGAAAAACCTCTCCGGAAAACACCAGGCATTCTCTCGATATGATGGATAAGTTAATTGATAGTTAATAAGTAGTAATAAGTTCAAATTATGGTTGGCTAAGTCAGGTAACAAGCGGGGAGCCCTTCTGGCTCGCCCGACTGGTGAAATGTAGGAAACAAATGTTAGCCGGGTTCGCTACCCTTAAGGTAGCGGACCTTCTCAAACCTGTTAGTTAAACCACATGTTCCCAGAATGTAGCTTAGCAATTATCCATCAATTTCATACATATTAGCCACTCAATATTCAATCTGCATATTATTTTCCCTCACTCATCAATATTAGTAAGTAATTTCCCAGGTTCAGTTCATAGTTTGAAGGATAGGTTAATATTTAAATAGTTAGTTTAATTGGTTCAATCACAGCTGGCTAGGCAAGTGTTCTGATCTGGGTAAAAGGTCTCCGTCCCTCTGGTCCCCAGCAATCTTCCTAATTTTATTGGTAGCAGGCAGATTCAGCACGCTTATGTTAAGTTTGGTCCAGACACACCTTCTCCTAACCTATTACATTACCCCGTTTATTCCCTCCTGATTACCCTAATTTCCCTCCTCCATCCCATACCTTAACCCAGTAGTACCCCCACCTCAAACGGCCCCCTGCCACATATGGTAGCAGAGCGTGGTTCCAAGGTCACATCAACCATCTCAACGTTTTGTATCAAACCGCGAGTCTCCGTCGACATCCCAAACTCAGGGAAACTCCAAAGGGGAGCACCGTTAGGCACCGCAGCGCTTCCCCTTGTTCAGTCTGTATGTCAGGTGCCCAAAAGGCAAAATTTGGTCAACAAACCTAAGGGTTCCCCAAGCATTCCGCCAAACGAGCTTTGTTACATCACCCTAAATTTTAGGGGAATTGTTAAGGAAGCCCTTATAGATACCGGATCTTCGTTTTGTTTGTTGTCATCTGAAACTTATCAGCTCTTAAAGCGACATACCAGCGCAGTCGTCAGTAAACACCCGACAACATTTTCAGCAATATCCGCAGCCGGCGAACCCATAAATTTCAAATTTGCAGCAAAGATTCATTTCAAAATAAAACACCTTTCTTGGACGTATCAATTTTTTGTCACTGATAAATTACCAGTTCCCATTTTGATAGGGTCTGATTTCTTAACAAAAACCAAGGCACTAATCAACATGTGCACTCACTCTCTTAGTTTTCCGTATGGATCACCTGGATCCCCGACAGCCTTTTCACTCATTTGCACTCCAATCACCGAGCAGAAAGAACTTTCCTTCAATATGGGGGAAAATTTAAATCCCCAACAACGCCAAGTTGTCTCTCAGTTGCTTTCAGAATTCCCTGAGACCATCACTAGCAAGTTAGGGCGAACAAACCTCTTAAAGTATCATATCCGCATCAAGGAAACCAAAGTTGTGCGAAACAAACCGTATCAGTACGCCCCTCCCAAGCTTCAACTTATGCGGCAACACATCGACGAACTGCTACAAAAGGGAGTTATTAGACCCTCCACGTCACAATATGCCTCCGCCGCCTTTCTAGTTCCCAAAAAGGGTGGGAAAACTCGCATGGTCGTCGACTACAGAAATTTGAATTCCATTTTGGAACTTGACGCCACGCCAATGCCCACCATAGAAAGCGCCTTTCAGCATTTAGGCCAGGCTCGTTGGTTCACACTCCTTGATTTGAACTCGGCATACAACCAAATTCCCCTGGCCGAAGAGTCTAAGCAATTCACGTCTTTTGTTGTTCCTTGGGCTCAATATGAGTTCAATTTCCTCCCTTTTGGTCTTGCTTCTGGTAGTATGGTTCTCACCTCCTTGATTGACAAAATTTTTGGCGACATAAAGTTCAAATACATTTACAATTTTTTCGACGACTTGTGTGTATATAGCGATTCAACCTTTGAAGACCATGTGGAAAAGGTCAGATCAGTAATCCAACGCCTCTGCGACTCAGGACTAACTGTCAATCCGGAAAAGATCACAGTAGCCTCCAATAAAATTCAGTTCCTTGGCCATGTTTTTTTCCAATCACACTATTTCCATCCACCCTGACAGGACACGACCAATAGATGAATTTCCCATCCCCAAGAACATCAAACAGTTGTCCCGCTTCCTAGGAATGACAGCCTTCTACGCCCGTTTTATAAAAGATTATGCATCAATAACGGCACCTCTGAATCAGCTAAAGAAAAAGGGTGTCCCTTTCGTTTTTGGCCCCGACCAGATCACAGCCTTTCAAGCCTTAAAGAAGGCATTGGTTTCCTCCACCATCCTCCGCATGCCCGATTTCAACCGTCAATTCGTTGTCCACACGGATGCTTCCGGCTCATCAATCGGAGCAGTCCTTCTTCAGCCCCATGGTGATCAGTTGTTCCCGGTTTCCTATGCTTCCCCAGCTCTAAATAAGCACGAGCTCAACTACTCTACACTTCAACTCGAATGCCTTGCAGTAGTCTTTGCCTTGCAGAAATACCATCAGTACTTAGAACACCGAGAGTTCGAGCTTCACTCGGACTGCTCAGCCCTCACTTGGCTTCTTAATCACCCCCGTCAGATCGGCAAGATTGCACGTTGGATTTCTTTCATCAACTCCTTTCAGTTCAAAATTTACCACATTCGTGGAAGGGACAATGTTATCGCGGATTGCCTGTCCCGACTCTTTGAAAACACAGAACCAACAGAAGTTACACCCCCCACAACACAACCATCAATTTTATCTCTTTTCTCTTTACCCGAGGCCTTCAAGGACATCTCAAAGCATCAACTCGATGATCCCGACCTCAGGAAAATAATTAGATCCGCAAACAAACCTCCAAATTATTCAGTTGACAATAACACCCTTCTTTACCGTCTTCCGAACCAAACAAAACCCAGAGTAGTTGTTCCTTCCAAGCTTTTCGATCTTTTATTTGCCTACTACCACGAGTCTCCCACTTCAGCCCATTTAGGCATCAGCAAGACCCTTGCCCGCATCGAACCCTTTTTCTGGGCACCAGACCTCAAAACCGTCATCGCTGATAAGGTTCGAGCTTGTGTCAAATGCCAAAGGTGCAAGCAGGCACCAAACACAAAGGTGGGGAAACTCTATTCTGAAATAGTAACTCAACCGTGGGAGAAAATGTTCATCGACCATATTGGCCCTCTGCCACTCACTCTCAATCGAAACCAGTACATCCTAACCGTAGTGGATTCCTTTTCTAAGTTTTGCCTCATGATCCCTGTCAGGAATACCAAGGCCCAAACCACCGCATCAGTGCTAACCAAGCAAGTTTTCTCAATCTTTGGTCCTCCAAAATTCCTAGTTTCCGACAACGTCTCCTCCTTCAAGTCAGTAACAGTCAAAAACCTTTGCATGGGACTAGGCATTCAACACATCTACACCAGTCCCTATTACCCCAACCCTTCCCACGCCGAAAGGGTCAACAAACAAATAAAAATAGCCATCCGAATTTTCCACCATGAACACCAAAAACGCTGGGATCAGGAATTACACTGGTTCCAGCTAGCATTCAACTCTGCCCGTCACGACTCCACCAAAACTTCCCCAGCCCGTTTATTCCTTGGTCGAAACATATCCCATCCTTTAGAGCTCCACTGGAATCTAGACAGGCTAATCGACGACCAGGCTTCCCCACAGTCTTCAAATGAAGAGTGGGGAAGAGCCGTCGAGAACCTCATCAGAGCTAGACAGCTTAGGCATTACATTACATTACATTTTACATTTACATTTGTTGTCATGAGAGCCGAAGCCCCCTGACTGCTTACCCGGTACCTATCCTTCAGGACATACCCGGGCCCCATGATGTAGGCCGAAGCTTACGCATCAACCTTTAGCACATCATGGGCGGATGACTTAAGGTCATCAGGCTCGCCGGCTGCCGAAGCAGACCCTTCGGAAAGAGGGTTGCCCCTCAATCCTAACCAGGGATTCCGGCTGCTTGTTTAAGCGTCACTCCACCTGGGTTCCACTAGGTCGGAACCTAGAGGTCCATAGTAGAGCGCCCCGACGCATTTAGTGCAAGCAACACTCGGGACCTATCTCATCCCTGACAGGCAGAACCCGCCATCAATAGCCAGGAGGAAGGGGACCATCAGCACGCTGACAGGGGGAACCCCAACCTCCCATTTACACCGCTGCCCGATCGAGGCCTGACCCATTGCTGGGAACCAGAGATATCCAGAGCGATAGATCCCCAGATACCCCTGGCGGGCTCGGACCCAGCACCCGATCTACTTCGTTTGCCCGTCAGACCCAACATCACTGCCAGGCCATCAGGGTTTCCCAAAAGGAGGCAGGTATAGAAGTGGGACCCACCCGGATGAACCTATCCACCAGAGGTGGCGACACCCTTGACTCAATTGAGGTTCCGGGAAGAACCCCCCACACTCAAGATAACCATACCGTCCGTGCTCAGAGACAGGGATAGGTTTGCATAAGTACCTACAAACCGTTGCCCTCACACTGCGGAAAGTTACGTTGCCCTTGAGTGTCCCCGTGAGCTGCGGGTACTTGCCCGTTTTCACCTCCAGGAAAGGTTACTTCCAAAGTCGAGGATTTGCCCACTGAATGCTGGTCGCACACAACAAGCAGGCCAAAGCCCAAAGAACCACAGACACAGGTAGGTTAGAGATTATGATGTACTTCCATCTCTCCTAGAGCTAAACACCCCTCCATCCTGGATAAAGGAATGTCACTGGGACCCGATGCCCAGTCGACCATGTCTGTGGCCAACTTGAAAATGCCGATACCAACACGGAGCATTTACCTCCCCTCTGGGGGCTAGGTATTTCACCTCCCAGGACGAGGCTACTTCCAAAGTCGAGGATATGCCTCACAAAATGTCAGTCGAACACAACAGGTAGGACTCAGTCACAACCACAGTTACAGGTAGATGAGGAGAGGCGGAATTAACGGCGTCACTGAGAGCTAAACACCCCCCCCACCCTGAATGGAGGGAATGTCACTGGAGGCTCCCCCTAAGGGGCTGGCGCTTACCAGTCGTCCATAACTGTGGTCTACCTGAAGTGCCGGGTCTGACACCGGGCAGTTACCTCCCCTCTGGGAGAGCTAGGGTCCGCGTGGTCGCCCAGGCCACGAACCCACGCAAGCGTGAGCCCCCTGCGGTTAGACAGCTTAGGCAGCAGAAATACGATCTGGACAGATTGCCCAACCCGTACAAGACCGGGGACTGGGTAATGTTCAGAGAACATCACCTCAGTAGAGCTGCCGATGCCATCAACCAAAAATTGCTCCCTGTCTGGTCCAAACCTTGCGTCATTGAAGCATTTTCGTCCCCAGTCACTGCACGTTTGGTAAATCCATCAACAGGAAAATTCATTAGAAATGCACACGTGTCACATCTGAAACGATTTTTTCAGCCACAATTTTAAAGAAACAACAAGATCAATCTCTTTACCCAGATCAGAACACTCTGCTAAAGTGATATTAGGTTAAGTCTTCTCAATCTGTCGCTGTCCCCTCCAACGCCCGGGGGAAAGTGAGTCTCGGGGTATCCTTCCTTAGGATGGGCTGCCCTACATGTCTTCCTCCGTGCGTTGTCGGCCAAATCTTTTACCCCTCCCTCTTCGTCTCTCGCACCCTCACTGAGTTCAGTAAAGAATTTTTTTTATTGAATCACGTTTTTGGTGATTACTTTCCACGGGAGATTTAATTTTATTTTTTATTTTGCTTATTTTTACCCCCGTAGGAAAGGGCTCAGTGATGGCACCTTCTGTGGCGACCTAGCTAGTCGAGTGTTTAGAGACAAACTCTCTTTCTATTCTTTCCTTTACCTCCCTTATTTTCTTTTCTTACTTCTTAGCTTAATTAGTCACTAAGGTAGAGTTAGTTAGATTTAGGGGAGAAATAGTTACCAGTTTAGTTAAGAAACTCAGTACTTTTATTTTTTACAAAAAAACAAACGAACCGGAAATCTTGCCTCTCAAGGGAAATACTTGATAAGGAAACAATCTCCAGAATCCCAAGAATACCTATTCCCACCTTTTTCTAGCGCTTACCGACGCGCAATTTTCTGCATGCGTAATAATTTGCATGCGAAACGTTCTAAATAAAAAAAAAAAAAAAAAAAAAAAGGTTTTAACAAGAACAGTTTACTATCCTTCCAAACTCCTTCAACACACAGACCCCCAACGAACCCATGGTTCACCTTTTGAGTCCGAGCCAACCCGTCAGTGATCGGACCTCCACCTTGCGACCAACCCTTCTTCATTTCCACAACGACAGTCACCTTGAAAATAATTTTTTTTACGATCATCTGCGATCTGATTAAATATTCATTTCCCCCAGCATTATTTAATAGAAACCAGACAACTGCACAATCAAAGCAACAAAAAAAAAAGTAATAAATAAATCAAATGAAAGAGCAAAACTCAATTAACAACTCTACAATTTTCCCGCATACCAATCAATCATGAAATATCGTGCACATCTGTTTTGGACCACAAGAGACATTTACCTTCTACATCCCCCATCATCAGTCAGCGATGCTCCGGCCTTGTCCGCATGAGTCATCAGCCAGCACACCTTGGGCGCAGCCAGCGATGCTCCAGCCTTGTCCGCATGAGTCATCAGCCAACACACCTTGGGCGCAGCCTGCGATGCTCCGGCCTTGTCCGCATGAGTCATCAGCACACAACATCTCTTTGCCTACACTCAGCCTGCTGCCTCAACACTTAGCCCATACCATCAGCACCTCTCAAGACCTGCATCACCAGAAGACACACCAGCTGATCTCAAATTCCCCCACAGTGCACCAGCAATGCCTTAAGAAGAAAACCTATTAAAAAAAAAAAAAAAAAAAAAAAAAAATCTTTTGTGCGTGCAGTTGTCCGTCCCTTTTTATTTCACAACAGAAAGCAATTCAATTCCAATTTTTGCCAGGTTAGGGAAACAAACTGTCGTCCCCACAATGCCTTCCTCTTTTCGCAGGGGGGGTGGATCCCGCTCTCTGCCGTGGTTGGTTCGGGAAAGTCCGGTGGTCCGAGGTGCCTATTACAGCCAGGCTGGTCAGAACCTTCCACATCTGGAAGCAAACCGAACGACAAACTTCCCCACAAAAAAAAAAAAAAACACACCAAACCAAACCCTTTCACCAACCTTCAAAAAAACTGTTCTGTTCTTTTCTTTTCTTTCGTCGTAAGGGGGGTGGTTGTGACGCATAGCGGCACGCTATATTTTTTTATAGTGTGTGCAGTTCGCGAAACCGGGCTGCATGTTCATCTCGTTGCCTGCCGCGACTGCATCAATGCTCTATCCCCACCTTTCCTAGTTTTTGTCCTCCTTCTTCGTCAACCGGCATCTGGACAGAAAAACCTCTCCGGAAAACACCAGGCATTCTCTCGATATGATGGATAAGTTAATTGATAGTTAATAAGTAGTAATAAGTTCAAATTATGGTTGGCTAAGTCAGGTAACAAGCGGGGAGCCCTTCTGGCTCGCCCGACTGGTGAAATGTAGGAAACAACAAAAATGAAATGAAGGTAGCGGACCTTCTCAAACCTGTTAGTTAAACCACATGTTCCCAGAATGTAGCTTAGCAATTATCCATCAATTTCATACATATTAGCCACTCAATATTCAATCTGCATATTATTTTCCCTCACTCATCAATATTAGTAAGTAATTTCCCAGGTTCAGTTCATAGTTTGAAGGATAGGTTAATATTTAAATAGTTAGTTTAATTGGTTCAATCACAGCTGGCTAGGCAAGTGTTCTGATCTGGGTAAAAGGTCTCCGTCCCTCTGGTCCCCAGCAATCTTCCTAATTTTATTGGTAGCAGGCAGATTCAGCACGCTTATGTTAAGTTTGGTCCAGACACACCTTCTCCTAACCTATTACATTACCCCGTTTATTCCCTCCTGATTACCCTAATTTCCCTCCTCCATCCCATACCTTAACCCAGTAGTACCCCCACCTCAAACGGCCCCCTGCCACAAACTGAGCTCAATCAATCAATGAATTTTCTTTATTGATATTTCTTTAAGAAAAAAAAGTAGTGTCATATTGTGATTCAGTTGATTTTCATTCTAAAACTAGCTACATTTAACACGGAACGAAATTTATACTCTCCGTAGTCATTGGCAAGAGCTCTGCAATATTAAATGTTGTTCCAGGAACCTGCTCCACTCGTCCCAGATAGACGTGAGCTACTTTGCCGCAGGGATCATGGCACATTTGGCGTCACAGGGGAAGAAAGCGTGGCAGGACAGTGGAGCAGAGCTGTCGTGGCAGGACGCCCTGTGTGACCTTGGGGCCGTGGTCGCCGCGTGGCAGCCGCCCGAGGGTGAGATGGTGGCGTACAGGTCGTTCCATCCGTTCTTGTCTCTGCTGCAGTGCTACGACGCTCCTCAAGTGCAGCTGTGGGCGGTGTGGGCGATACACCACGTGTGCACTAAGAATGGTACTTACTTCTTTTTTGTGGATCTACACAATTTTTTTTTTTTTTACGAGTAAGGAAATGGGATTTAAACCCACATTCGCCTTTTTGTTAGAGATCATCATTAATTGGTAGTCCCAACTATAAATGGCATCTAGATCCAGAAAAAACCCCATTTGAGATCGAACAAGCTACCTTCAGATTTGAAGGGGGGCACTTACAACCACTAGGCTACCCAGACAATTTGAGGATCGAGTTGTGTGTTAACAAGAGCAGGAAGTTCAGAACTTCTTTCATGCCTTAACCCTAAATTTTGTATTAAACATGTTGTTAAAGTTTTTATATGTATTTGTGTTTATCTTACGGATTAGCACTTTTTATATTTTACCAAGGGGACAGTCCAAACTTTGGTCACTAGTTATGTACCATCAGATAGTTTTATATCAATGTAGTTAACAGTTATTAAGTTAACTAGCTGGCGCGACAGACGTCGTCCTGTCCTAATGTGGTTTTATGTCAATGGTCGTTCATTTTCAAGATGAGCTCGCTCGCATGGCTCAATCACGTCCGGTTGAAGTTCGTTTGCTACGCTTACTCACCTTTAAGTTGGAGCTCGTTCGCTGCGCTCTCTCACCTTCAGATTAGCTCGTTCGCTATGCTAACTCGCCTCCAGGTTAAAGTTCGTTCGCTACGCTCACTCACCTTTTGGTTGCAAATTAGCTATTATCATAAATTTAAAAAAAATAATAGTGCTGCACCCTGTTGGTAAACCTATTACCTTTTTAATGCTATTGAACATCACAGAATCAAATTGTTTGGTTGAACCAGCTGTTAAGATTCTTTAATTCCATTTAAATATGAGTACTCATAAGGTTAACATGGGAAACTCCAGAGCCACTAGGGCGGAGCCCTTTTGACGGATCTGCACCAAACTTCACACAAACCATCCTTGAATAATGCTTAATAATGCCTGAAAGTTTCATTACAATCTGTCGAGCGATTTCGGAGTCCATAAAGGACAAACAAACAAACGAACAAACATACATACATTGGATTTTATATATAAACTAGCTGGCCCGACAGACGTCGTCCTGTCCTATTGTGGTTTTATGTCACATGCTCGTTCATTTTCAAGATGAGCTTGTTCGCATGGCTCAATCACGTCCTGGTTGAAGTTCGTTCGCTACGCTCAATCACCTTTAGATTGGAGCTCGTTCGCTGCGCTCACTTGCCTTCAGGTTAGCTCGTTCGCTACGCTAACTCGCCTCCAGGTTGAAGTTCGTTCGCTACGCTCACTCACCTTTTGGTTGCAAATTAGCTATTATCATAAATTAAAAAAAAATAATAGTGCTGCACCCTGTTGGTAAACCTATTACCTTTTTAATGCTATTGAACATCACAGAATCAAATTGTTTAGCTGCACCAGCTGTTAAGATTCTTTAATTCCATTTAAATATGAGTACTCATAAGGTTAACATGGGAAACTCCAGAGCCACTGGGGCGGAGCCCTATTGACGGATCTGCACCAAACTTTACACAAACCATCCTTGAATAATGCTTAATAATTGCTAAAAGTTTCATTACAATCTGTCAAGCGGTTTTGGAGTCCATAAAGGACAAACATACAAATATACAAACATACATTGGATTTTATATATATAGACTAGTGGCTTTTAGGGGCAATAGCCCCTATATATGTATAAATATTTTGTCTCATGGGTTGAACCTTGAACCATTGGGTTGATCTCCATTTGTCAACTCGATCGTTTAACATTTTTGTATACAATATGTATAATAATTATTACATGCCTGCATAATGCATTTTGCTATCTGCTCTGTTTAAAATAACAGTTCCAAAAGACTGTTCATCCGGTATTATAACAACTGTCTAATCATTAATACAACTAATGATCATTTTCAATTATAATCTTCATGACTATTAATTAAATATATATATAAATCTCTTTGAATATAGACAAATTCACTTAGATTAAACACATAGAGATAACGTCTTCCTCCAGATTGTAAAATGCTAATTACAATGACAGAAAAATATTGTATTTTGTATTTAGTTTATAACAAAATCTCTCTGAAAACAACATTTTTGTTGTATGGTATCCATTTTAATTGATTCCTTCGTCTTTATTTGATTCTAGTACTATTTTGACATCATCTGGCCGCCTTACCTGGTTAACATAAAGTTGACCATGGGTAAACACTATTTTTTTCTTCAAATAAATGCCAACTTTTGTTCGGGTTCGGCCTCGTCCTTTGCTTTAATAATAAGTAATATTGAAAGCTAATCGCAATGGGAATTGAATACTTGTAAACTTAAACAGCATATCAGGATCTATAGATATTAGTTTTATTTTCGGCATGGAAAAATAAGTCCCCTTTGCCTACTCCAGTAACCACTTCTAACTTTACACTTTGTTCAGACATACCTAACACAACAAATCGTACTCCATTAAACAATCCAGACCCTTAAAATTAGGGAAAAGTCTATTTCAAATTTATAATAGTATGCATATTACAGTACATATTACATATCATATGCTTTAAATAAAGTTAAACCACATGTTTTAAAGTAAACAAAGCACATGACCTAGATTCCCATGTTATTTAAATGTGAATTATTTTATTCCGTAACGACAGTTTGGTGCATAATTAAGAAAAATGAATATTTTTCCCCAAAATTTCATGCTGAGACCTTTAAAATGAGGCCTCTCCCAGCTTTCTACGTCCTCCCGTTCGCTCACAATTTCATTGTAAAATTTTGGGCTTACGGAATTAGATATATAGATAGATTGTTATTTTATTTGTATTGAACTTATTTTACATTGAACTTATTTTGATAAATCTCATAGCCTCAAGATACTGCCCAATGCTGGAAGCGGACCAGGGCAGCCAACTGTTGCGACAGATGTACAGTTGTACCAACATCGACCCTCGAGTCAAGGACATTTGTGCAGACATTCTCAGTTTACTGAGGTAAATCTAAAAAAAAAACTAAATCTGTTTTTATCAGGTTAATTGTTTATGTAAAAGACCTACCCAAGATAGTGAAAAACCAATGCTATTTTAGCTTGTGTAATATTGTAGAAAATTATTTTTATTTTTATTGCATTTTATTAACCAGTTAAGTATTAATAGGAGACGTTGACATTTTCTACTATCACTATTTTGCTTTTGTCGATCTACCAAACAATCACTCTCTTGGTAAAACTACAAAATATTTCTCATTCCATTTCAGTATCACCTTTATTCTCCATTCAATAAAAATTATTCAAGTTGACTAAAAACATAAATAGAAGTAGTAAAGATCATTTGACAAAATAACAAAGCCAACCCTTTATCATATAATTTTATTTCCAATTTCATCGTTCAGTATTAAAATACTATATCCTGACAACTTAAAAAATAGACTTTATATAATATTTTAATATTTCAGTAAGTTACTGTATTTAATTGATGCGTTAAACTGTTTCAGGCATAACAGTGGAACAACCGTCTGTGAAAGCTCACCATGACAGAAACACCAAAGTGAACCTAACCTAAAAGCTGACCATATAAATATTTCATAGATTATGTTATTGTAAAAATCTGACTATATGAAATCATCTTTACAAATTATTTATTTTGTATGTAGTTGTATATTATTGTTATTTTTTGTGTATATCTATATATAAAAGTTGTACAATTATTAATGATTGTGTTTTTTCCATCGTGTTGATTAAAATAAGATAGCCATTAATATTTATTGTCATAACCTTTATTACTGGTTGTGAACCTTTCCTTTACCGTTATTCTATTTTTTCACCTTTAACAATAAGCGTCATTTCTGTACAACTGCTCTTGCAACTACTGTACCTACATAAATTGTCTATTGGTTTAATTTCATTGGTCAATTAGAGGTGGCTATGGTTAAATTCAAGCGTTGAAAGGAATGGGAAACACTGGAACAGTTGATCTTAGTCTTAGTATCATTAAGTGTTGCCAACTTATTTTCAAGCGTACACGTCTTACGTGCCTAATAAAAGCACAGTGTTTTGTGTTGTTTGGTTGGAATACTGGAGTGCGGCAAAAGTAAGTAAATGCAGCAATTAGCTACTTTGCGTGCTAAAATTAGTACAAAAAAAATCTGCTTTGTCAGGTAACAGTAGGAAAAATATTTTGCGTAGCTCTATATATTTAGTGTAGGTCTCTATGCTGTTTGGTCTCTACACAATTATAATCTTATATTTTTTTACATATCTGCAATCCAATACAATACAATATTGGCTGGGTATGTCCAGCTTTTGCTGCGCGAGCCAAGTAACATATTTGGAATAGTAAAAATATTACTCGCTATTAAATTTTGCACGTTACAAGTTAAACTTTCTTAACGAACCTCACGATGGTGTTACCGTGTATAACAAGTAACCTGAAGTCTATTAAACCTGTTAGGACCTATAGACACTAAACGAGTTTTTATCACCTATCATGCAGTTCTAAAAGTAACAATTGTGGTACATATGTTTCGGCGAGATGCCATCGTCAGACACTTCAGTCCAGGGAATTGAATCCGCTTGATTAGCTTTGTTGATGTGTAAATACAGACACACATTCAAAAAACAACACATACAGATACAACACAAGCAGGAACAGACTGTCGGAGGGTTCAAGTCATAGCGCTGTCTGGCCAAGAGGATTTGTGATATGGACTTTGATGGGAGAGAGACAAGGTTGATCTCTGGCATATCCACAAAAAGTTATTGTTTTTGGACTCATTTTAATGACTTTAAAATCCTCCTGGGAGTTAATGACTTTCTTCACTATAATAATGCCACTGTTTGGACAAAGAAAAAAATCATATAATCATCAGCTAACGAGCTTTAATTTTGCCCAATTAAGTAAACTACCCTTTATATGGTACTAGCTGTACCCGCGGGCTTTGCCCCGTTTAACTTCATACGTGAGCTCGTTCGCATGGCTCAATCACGTCCTGGTTGAAGTTCGTTCGCTACGCTCACTCACCTTTAGGTTGGAGCTCGTTTGCTGCGCTCACACGTCAAGGTTGAAGTTCGTTCGCTACGCTCACTCACCTTTACGGTTGCAGCTCGTTCGCTACGCTCACTTGCCTTCAGGTTAGCTCGTTCGCTACGCTACCTCGCCTCCGGGTTGAAGTTCGTTCGCTACGCTCACTCACCTTTTGGTTTAAAATTAGCTGTTGTCAAATATTTAAAAAAATAATAGTGCTGCACTCTGTTGGTAATCCTTGTAACTTTAATGCTATTGAACATCATAGAACAGAACCAACTTGTTTAATTGAAACAGCTGTTATGATTCATTAATTCCATTTAAATATGAGTGCTCATTAGATTAACATGGGGAACTCCAGAGCCACTGGGGCGGAGCCCGTGAGTCTGATCAGAATAAAAACCACTTAGTTTTCCTATTTAATGCCTAAAGAATCAGTGTACCAAATTTCAGCCTTCTAGGTAAGTGGGAAGTGGGAGAATTAGTGATGAGTGAGTGAGTGAGTCAGTCAGTCAGTCAGTCAGTCAGTCAGTCAGTGAGGGCTTTGCCTTTTATATATATAGATACCTATATATGGAGACAGTTGCATCAAAATTGTATTTCTAAATATACTTTGTGGAGTGTACTCATTAAATGACTCAGGAACAGTCCATATACTGCTACCAATATAGGTACATGAGGATTCTGTGAGGAGTTACAGGTGCTTTTAACAAAAAAGTCTATAGGAAAGGGGATTGTTTTGACTTAACACCACTATCAGTTAAAAAATGCAGCATTGTGCGTAAGCGCCTATCGAATATGGCTTAGAGTCTTCCTTCAGCATGAACGTTTTAGTACGTAATGAAGATGGCGTAAAAGAATAATTGTGAGGGGGCCAAGAGAAGCGAAGGCGTTGGTCTTTGCCCTAGATACCAGATACTAGTGCTGACACCACTTAAGTGCGCCATTGAATTTCCTCCTGTACCTTATTTATCTTCGGTGTAGATATGATATACCATATTGATAATAAAATTAATTGCCTAATTTTGATAATTACTACTGTGGAAATCAATACTAAGTAGGTCAATGCTTATAGAGGGGTTGTAGTGCTACATTGAACAATCTGGCATAACCGACATTGATTATCGCCATTATCGGGATTTTAATAAGTCCTGGTTGGATCAAATGGAGCCGTTCACACGAGTGTAGGGCGACGACTAGCTAGCCGCGTTCGAGCTTGGTGTCCCAAAACATGTCGGGCCCCAATTCCCAATCACTCATGGCAGCTACCCAGTCATTCGCTCTAGTGGCGTAGCAGTACACCGCAGCCTTATGGGAGCTTTCAAACGAGCGATCAGGTAGTCGCGCTTCAGCTCGCATCCTTCCCTTTGTTCTCATTGTCCACCAGTAATGGATCCGAGTGGTTTTGATATCAAAATTTTCATCTAATCCGTGGACATCATGTCGCTTGTGTGAACCGGTATATATCTTGTGGTCCACTAACCAAGCAGTCGGGCTTACCTAGTCGTCAGCTAGATAAGTCGCTCTTGTGAACCGCAGGCCTAAAAGACAATAACAAGCTGTAATAAACCTACTCAAAGCATTTTCACTAGCCCACACCTTTTTCACTCATGTTTGGGTTAAAATTCACCATAACCATAGGGTGCACACCTGTCTTAAATATTAACCATTGACTAAAGACATTACAAATAGAAAATAGAGATCCTATAACGAATCAAATAGTATTTTAAAAAACACAACTAGGATTCTGAAAAGATGGGCACAATTATTGGTTAAAATACATCTATATATAATCATAATCAATGATGGGTACGTTGCCCCCGGAATTTATCAGTACCGTAAGTTAATCAGCTGACTGAGGACTGCCGACTGATAGAGACCAAAAGACCAAACACAACACTCATGTATTCGTGATTGTAATAATGTAGTAAACGAAATCTAAGCAGCAGAGAAGTGTAGTGTAATAGATTGTTTTGGTTAACTAACAGGTGTACAATACAAAACAAAACAATCTAACACCTGCTCCTGCTGAGCTGAGTTGAGTTGAGTTTTATTGAAGTTGTTGTTTTGTTTTAGTTGGATTGGATTGATTAGTCAGGTGAATGGCGGTGCTTCAAAATTTAGTTTTGTGGAACATTTTGTTATTTATATTCTTTATAAGTAAACCATCTATCAATGGTCAAATGAATGATGTGTTGGAACTGAAAAATAGCACTATTGTAATTTCAATTCTCGTCAGGAATAAAGCACATACACTCCCATACTTTTTAACATGTCTGGAGAGGTTAGATTATCCAAAAGATCGGATAATGCTGTGGTGAGAAATTAAAGCTTTGTTTTTTTAGCTTTAAACATACATTATTATAGCCTAATTCAGGAGTCTTTGACAATTATTATTTTTTAAATTTCCTTCGGCTATGAATTAGTTTTAAATATTACCTAAGGCCTAGGCCTAAGTTACTAACTTACTTAGATTTATGTTCATAATTTCTTCCGATTGATTTAGATACTTAGTTAACAAGTTAGGTTTACATACTTAAACGTCGTCAATTCTATTAGGCTACCTTATTAACGGTTCTTCACCTTTACCCCATGGGGGATTGATGGCGTCAATATATATAGCCTAATATATAAAAGGCCTAGTCTCAGACAACTAGTGTCGGTACATTAAACTTCCATTTCAAGCGAATACAGGAAACGTACATTAAAACAAGTAGGCCTAGGCCTAACTTAAGTATGTGGCCGGCCATAACACACAATCACAGGTCTAGCCAATGCACCCACTCTACTTAAATCCAATATTTGGTGTAGACCTAGACCTACCTGAGACTACTATAGAATTGATAAACCTTAAGGAATGTTAACTTACCTATTTATTACAACCCTAGCCTACTGTAGAAGTTTCGAAAACCGAATAAGTTAGGCCTAGGCCTACTCGGTACTCAATCTCACAGTTTATGCTGTTGCTCAGTGGACCTATTTTAAATATATGCCTAGGCCTACTGAGATTTTGCAAGTTAAGAGTGTGCAAGTGTTCAAGCCAGTGGCCAATTTTCACCCTATTTCTTTGTGTTTTATTTTGTGTACCATAAATTCTAGAATGACTTATCCAAAATTATACACTAGGCCTATAAGAAAGACAGACGATAAAAGTTCCATGTGGTAAGTTAATTATTTCTTCACTGGAAAGACAACTTAATTGTGCATAAGTTAGTAAGATTTGTAAGGCCAGTTTAAAACATTAGAGGGCTAATTAAGGGGACTCCACGCTGATTTAGAAGCTAAAAAAGACAAAATTAAAAAAAATATCCGATCAGCTTGGATAAATTCTTTTATTATGCTTGCTTATAGCTAGGGCCTAACTGACTTTGAGTTGCCTACTCATCGCCCACTGAACTAACCCAACATAACCGACTACATTGATCTCTTTCTTTAGGATTCGGAGTGATCATAATGAGGACAACTCAGTGGAGATCCTACAGCGTTGGTTGAGTGTTTGGTCCAGCCATTACCATGCTGTAGATGTGGAGGTGGTACCCTCACCTCCCTACCACCCCGGGGAGGACGGTCCTGCGCACTGGCCACACGCACGCTACTCTCACCTCATCAACCTACGTGAACAAGCTCTCAAGTTCAGCCGAGATGTGTGGGCGGACTATGTCTGGGTAGGATATGTGCAGACTATTGTAAGCCTACTTTGTGCTCAGTAGAGTCTTTATAATCAGTTGGAGGTCTTATAGTTTTAGTTCAGTATAGATAATACTTACATTGCCATAAGTTTTTCTTGTAGCCTACTATTTAGGCTCTACTGATGACGCATGATTTAGTTGTGAGTCAAAATGAAATGATAATTTCATTTATTTCATAACTTAATGTGACATAATAAAATAATTGAAGCTAAAAATAATGTGGGGGCTATCCAAAAGGTCAATTACGTTTTTATATCTACCCTGAGGGGTAGGTAAAGTTAGCGCAGCTGTGTAGTCCATTTGTGTTATTTAAGCAGTGCTCCAATATCTTATTTACTATCAAGTAGGGGTTGTTACAGGTTTTCCATTTTGTTTCAGTTTCTAGACTGTGATGTGTTTGTGACAAACCCTCAAACACTTGCTGAGCTTGTGAAGAAGCACCATGCTGTCACTGCTCCGATGTTGCGTTCCGACGGGCTCTACTCTAACTTCTGGTGTGGGATGACTGAAGACTATTACTACACTCGAACTGAAGTAAGATGTCATTTATTAATCATTACTCTCAAAAATACCGCAGCAGCAAACCTGCAGACTAAGCTAATTTTATTTTGTCTGATTGGATTTTTTCTAGAATATTTCCATAAACGAGACATATTTATTCCCAATTTAAATAACACTAGGTATGGTTTAAGACTAGAGTAGTTCTTTTTACTTATCCACCAATAACTATTTGTGAGAATTGTTTTTTCACTCCATTTTTCTTGCCTTGAATAGTTATTTATGTCTATTAAATGCCTATGTAGCAACACTCTAAACTCTTCTAAGCCTGAAGCAATTTGAAAACAGCTCTGGCTAAAGCCTTGTGTTGTAGGATGTGAAGGTGGGACAAAAAAGGTTGTAAAGCAATTATTCAATTTGTTTTGAAGGACTATGAGCCAATACTCAACAGGCAGCGGTCAGGATGTTATGCTGTTCCAATGGTTCACTCGTCAGTGTTGGTAGACTTGCGAACCGTACAGTCTGACAAACTACACTTTGACCCAGTACTAGTCGACGGCTACAATGGACCACACGATGACATCATCACATTCGCTCTATCTGCTAACTTGTCAGGTAACCTCTGTGGTTTAGCTTATAAAGTTATATAGCGAGGTACATGGTTAACACTATTTGTGCTGTCGACATGTTTGAACATAAAAGTTGCATTTATTTCAATGTTAAGCAATTGCGGGAATTCCCGTCATCAGCACCCAACGTGTTAATGTACGTGTGATTGATGTGTTGTGAATGTTGGCGTAATGTATGTAGGTTTGTAGTGAGTCGGTGGCTCAGTCAGTAGCATCACGGACTTCGGGCCCAGGGCAGCGATGTTGTGGGTTCGGATCCTGGTCACTGCCGAAAACATTTTATCAGTACAGTTCACCTTTGTATTGTACCGGATCACTCCTTGCTTTGCTGTACATACGCTCCACACACGGGCAGTTAGTCTATGTGGATGGGCAAGTGCAAGGTTAAAAGAGGCCGCCAACCTCTTAAAAAAAGTTTATTTCTGTGTATATGTACTATCGCAAGATTAAAATTCGTGTTTTATTTAAGCATTTTATTAAATGGTTTTATATTATCAAACTATTAAAACATTAATTGCTTCAGGAACAAAAAACAATATAAACAATTTCATTTTTATCTATTCCTTATAGCACTTCACTACTAGTCCCGAAAGTGACACATTTTGGGCAAGATAGTGGTTTACAAGTGAGCATCAGAATGGAACTTTTGTGAAGAGTAGTGAATGATACTTTTCATCGTGATTCAAATAATCACAATTGATAAAACAACAAAACACTATTTCTCTTTCAAGTTTTCTTATATAGGTAGTTTACAATTTCTTTAAAAGAGAGCTGTCAGATATTTTCTGTGATAAAAGAATACATACACTAGCACTTCTGTTGAGCTAAACGGAAATTTGTTTGGGAAAAGTAATGTAAGACAGGCAAAGACTTATGATTTAATAAAATGGAAAACAATGATTTTTGTAAAGCTCCAAGCTGTACGGGTATGATCTATTTTTGTATACAGAGTGATGAAACATAATACATAAAATACTCTCTCTGTGTAATAATGTTGACTGTAATGTACACATGTTATGTGTAGGTTTGCCGCTGTATGTGTGCAATGATCTGATCTACGGCTATGTTATGGTTCCACTCGAGAGGGATGACACACTTAACTACGACAAGCTGCAACTAACCAACCTGAAACTAGAGATCATGGGTAAAAATTACATTGTTATTTGTCCAACCTTGCAGTATTCACAGCTGATTTATCTGGATTTTAAGATGTTGGATAAAAATGGCTTTAGGTCAAGGTTTTAGATATGAATAGAGGACAAACAACTCAACATCTGAACTTAAGTTCTCAGATGTTTACATAGACGTAACTTCATGGTGGCGCGCTTGAATAGGAATTCACATAAAACCCTTTAACTTTAACCTTCTCCAATACATCCATTACAACAGCTTGCAAAGAACACCAATTGGTGTATACCCCGGAAGATTTTTCATCATTGTTTTTCATTTTTCAAATTGGAAAATGATAGGAAAGTGGGTAAAATGATTTAGAAATACTGCTTAAACTCTATTAAAAAGATGGGTGGGAGCTGCAAAACAGTTGGCCCACGAGCTATTGCGGAATAAGTGTGAGTCACAGTAACTCAAAGTCGAAAAGGACCTCCAGGAAGCCTTCGTTGTTAGGAAGTTTTTCATTGGTTCTTTTCTTTCTTTGTGGGTTTTTTCTATAAGGCTACTTAAATTTCAAGGGTTTTCAAGCTAGAGATTTGTTTGAACTGTAATAAATAATAAATTGGCCTGGAAAACCAAGCGATTCCACTAGAAATGCTGGAAAGAGTATCTAATGGTTCAAGGGACTAAAGAGATGTCAAGTAATAGGCAAGTTCGTCACTTGAAGGACGTTGTTTTCAAGAAATTATAAAATTACTCCATGTAATATAAGCTTTGTTATGATGTGCTATTTATATGTATCCTGGTTTAGAAATGTTAAATTTCTACTATATAAAGATTGTGATGTTGTCATTGTCTCACCTTTTACAAACAGCCTAAAAAATAAAATAACCCAAACAATTTGACAATATAAAACAGGGTTGGTTTTTGTAGTTGAAAGCCCGCCACTACCAGTGAGTGAGCTACTAGCAGACTACACCAGCCTGCCGCCACGCGACACACTAGGAGTGGACGAGGTGTTCATGATAAACCTGGCGCGGCGACCAGAGCGGAGACACAGGATGGAACACTGCTTTGCCGAGCTCGGACTCCGAGTAACTGTAGTGGATGCTGTGGATGGCAAGTAAGAACAGGCTTGTATTTGTTTTTCATCCTTTGTAAGAACATGGAGTTGAATCCCACAAACTCTGTAGTGTGGAATACACTATTTACGACACCATAACGTTAAAAAACATAAATTTGACTTGTCAAACAAAATTTCAACTTACTTTTTTCCAAAGAAACCATATGCGGTTACTGGCAAGCGTTTTTGTTGTCAATTAACCCATTGAGGTACAGTAGTAGTTATTTTAGCTTGCGCAGGACCCTTGGCAGCAATTAATTTCCAGTTTTTTGCGGGCTTTTGGTAAAACATGTGTAAAATAATTATTTTAAGAGATAAATCAATATATTTTTTTTTTAATTGTAGGTAATAGTATTATCTATCATAAAATATAAAATTATTAAGGTTTTTTTATCAATATATATTTTTTACAAGTTTATATATATAAAAAAATTTTATATTTTTTTGTTTTTTGAAAGCAAAGGTATTTTTTCAAATTTTTCATTGGATGAAAACACAAATCAATATATTTTATGAAAGTATACATGAAACTCTACATAAAAATGAAATTTTATTTGCCTGGGTACATAGCCTAAATAAATAAAATATGCAACATCAAAAGAAAACATACCTTTCTCAATTTTGGTTCCATTTCGGTTTCCACGGTGATCTCCACATATTGCAATCTCCATACTTGAAAGTTTTTTGCACTCAAATTAGTTTAATTAGCACTAAAAATGTTATTTACACTATATACATGTTGAACTGGGGATTAAAAGTTAACTTTTATGTGAAAGTCCTTGAAGCACTTTTCGAGGTGCAACGGAACTTGGCACTTCTCACACATCCATGGTGTTTCTGATCTCTTTTTGTGGGATGTGCACATTTTGCATGCTCTTGTTGGGTGACTTTTATTTGCTGTAGGGGGTACCTTCACAGGGAAATGGACCCACTGTTTGGATTGTAGTCTCAAAGGCGATGCGGCGATAGGAGCGCGCCCTGGTGATGTTCGAGCTGGAATTGGCACGGTTGTCAATATCTGTTCCACAAATTCAAACGAAAATCTGTGTGATGCATGTTTTTGATTTTGTTGATTTTCTTGTAGACGCAGAATGCATTAAATGGGGTCATATCCATCAAATAAAAAAAATCTTCTTATATGCTTTGACGGTACGCCACATTATGGGAAAACTAGACAGGACTTGGTCTTGCCGGTCAACCCCCAACATACCTCGATTATATTCAATGACACATTTTGGTTTTACAATGTCAACTTCCACATTTCCTTGTTTCACTTTCTTCGAAACTGTCATTTCAATGTCCTCGTGCTTAGTTGACAACATATAGACATCCTTCCTATCACTCCATTTGACAGCTAAAACCCCTCTACCAGACCGTTTGATTGCTTCTCCTTTTTCCAGTTTAGCCTCCTTGAATGCCTGAGGCATACACCTCCTGTTATACAATACTGTTCCTACAGCATGTGTGTCTTTTTGGGCTAATTTGGTGTATAAGAGAGGGGAAGAATACCAGTTGTCAAGATATACAGTGTAACCCGTATGCATAAAAGGTTGCATCAAATCAAGAACAACAGCCTCGCTTGCCAAAACATCCTTTTCTTTATCTTCGCCAACATAAATTTTAAAACAGCAACAATACCCCGAAGAAGATTCACACACCTTGTAGATTTTCACACCAAATCTAGCCCTTTTTTGGGGTTGTACTGAATTATGCCGATTCTTGCCCTAATTTTCAAAAGGGTCTCGTCGAGAGCAATATCTCTTTCCGGCTCAACCATATGTAAAAATTTGGTTTCTAAGTAATTTATTACAGGCCTGATTTTTTTCAGCTTGTCTCGATTGACTTCGGTCTCATCTGAATCGTCGTAAAAATGTAGGAACCTCGATATACTTGAAAATCTCTCATATGACATAGTGTTTGAAAAGATAGGGGTTTCAATGATTTTCCTATGCGACCAATACTGTTTTATATCTGGTTTTCTGACTTGCCCCATATTCACATATAATGCAAAATAAACCTTCAATTCATCTACAGTTACATTGTACCATTTGTCATCAGACTTGAATTTTTTCCTGTCTGGGGTTGCTAAAAGCTTACGCGCATAATCATTAGTTTCAACACATATCATGTTCCAAAACTCATCCCCCGCAAACTGCATAAAGGTTTGCAGTTCTGTTGGATTTTCCCCCAGGGCTCGCAAAGAATGCACAATATACCGGGTACCCCACGGAAATCAATATTTTTGGGTATGTTTATTTCATCAACCCAAGGCCAGTCGCTATCTTCAAACTTCCGTTTCTTAGCCTTTGGTGGTTTAGTTACTGTACCGGTAATAGATTTGTTAGGCCTAGGTCTACCTACTTTACAAACCTTAGACATAGGCCTAGTTAGAGGCTTAGTTTTTTGGGCTGGATTAGATATTTTAGTAACCTTGGGCTTAGGCCTAGTTGGTTTGGATTTGCAAACTTTACTTGTAAGAGTTTGACTACATTCCTTAGGCTTAGAACTTGAAATTTCAGAAAACTTTCTCTTTCCTAGGGTTGATTTGGGTTGTTGTACATAAAAACTAGTACTCGGGACAGGATCAATGGATTGGTCATAAAAACTAGTATTAGGGACAGGTTCAATAGATTGGCCTTCGTCAAAAACATTTTGGGAGGCAGAGTCATCTGCTTTTTTTTCATTTTCAGTCTCTAGGTTTAGGCCTAGCTCTAGCTCATTTTCATTCTCGGGCCTGTTACATTCTATACCTTGTTCATTATGAAGATTACCTAATTCTAATTCATTACCTGAATTAGGAAAATTATCGTCGTCAAAGTCGTAAAATAACATGGGAGATTTCCTTCCGTGAGATGTATCCACAAGATAATCCAACGGTGCTGGATAATTTCATCATCGAATCCATCATCACTAACATTATCTGAACTTAGATCATTGTCACTGTCTAATAACCTATCTAATTCAGAAGTACGTAAACTTTTATGATCCATTTTACACAATAAACATAACCATAAACACAAACAAAACACTCGAAACCGGCGCAACAGATTACTCGTCGATTACAGTCAGCTGACGCGGTGATGGGTCACTAAAAATAAACATTTTCCAAGACACAGAATTACCAACCGGGCAAAACTAAATATCCTAATACAGCTAAAAGACAGTCAAAGAACATGCCAGAGCGATCTATCGGAAAAATAACGAACTACGTCGTCAAACTATTGTGCAATCTGCACATCGAGTCAGACTCGTGTGTCGGCATTCAGTCCCGATCGGCCGCATCGAGTCAGACTCGTGTGTCTACCCCAATGGGTTAAATCTTGTATTCTAGTCTTACAGCAAACTAGCATAAGATCCATATGGCAAACGCTACCAGGGCTGCTAACAATGTTGTAGATAACATACGCGTAGACTTTTCAAAAAATTGTGTCAAATTCTTTGTTGGTTAACCAGGAAATCTGGTTTTCGGGTTAATCATATGCAGGACCGTAGTGTGGGTTGGGCGCCCAATAAAATCTTTGCAGTAAATACCTCCCGTTTTATTACTAACTTCATAATTACATTCATCACCCTGCTCGTTGTCTATACTTCCACCCGCCACCTTGGGAACCTCTTAGTACCGCATCTTCTAGGCTTAGACTGAGCTATGTGAAAAACTATCCCTGGATAGAGCCTAGAGTCCTTGAACAAAAACAAACAAACTTATAAAAACAGTTACTACTTTTATGCTAAAGAATAATTGAAATGTCAACAATGCTAACACTGCTATGAGTTTTAATACCATGTATTTTTTCATTTTATGCCACCTTTTGTGTTTGCTCTAATAATACAAACTACAAACTAAGGCTAGGCTTACAATGAGCAATAAAAGATTGGACAACAGGGGCTTCTCTGAATATTTGAACAAATGTAACATCTTTTCATACAAGGGCAGGTATACGTCTATGACTGTTGTAGTCGAGATGGGCCACTTTTAAAAGATATAAATTTGTTTTCTAGAGAACTGACTGATGATGATTTGAAGGAGTTGGGAGTTTCACTCATGGAAGGTTACACGGATCCTTACCATAAGAGGTGAGTTAAATGTTTTGATAGGAAAATAATTCACATGTCTTGGTTTAGTACGATTTTCGAACATAGTACAAAATATGTATTGAATTTGTACATTAATTTGTTTTTCTAGTAACATTTTGTGCTTCAATGAAATAAATGCCTCACTCATTAGTCATGTAGGGAAAAATATGCTGAATTCTAATTCTAGTTACTGTAATATATTATGATTTTATTTTCCAGGCCTATGAAACGAGGGGAAATCGGTTGCTTTCTTAGTCATCATGCTATCTGGCAAAGAGTAAGTTTATCTATCTGGTTGACTTTAATGTTGAAATGTGTTATATTTTTACACCTAATGCATATTTTCAGTTTTGATGTTACCAATACAATAACTTAATTAAAATAAAACTAAATAATATCATTTAACTTTCTTATCTATTTTTTTTTTCAAAATAAACTTATCACACACTTTTTAAATCAGTTCTACATTTTGGCATAAGCCTTCTTCAGGAACAAACAAACATCTTCTATATCTATAAAATCCAATGTATGTTTGTTTGTATGTTTGTCCTTTATGGACTCCAAAACCGCTCGACAGATTGTAATGAAGATTTCAGGCATTATTAAGCATTATTCAAGGATAAGAGACAACTGGCAACAGTGCAACTTCAGCAATGACAGAGCACGCTTGGTCTATTACACCGATGGAAGTCGGAAGGATGAGAGATCAGGGCTGGGAGTGTATGGTAACAAAACCAAAATATCTCTGGCCTTGGGCAGAACAACAACAGTTTTTCAATCAGAGGTCCTGGCGATTGAGTGCTGTGCTAATAATATTATTAGCAAGAATCTAAGAAAGGGTAAAATCCTTATTCTCTCTGACAGCCAGGCAGCACTGAAGGCGCTGGGGTCATGTGTGACACAGTCACGAACAGTAAAAGGGTGTAAAAACACCCTCAAAAAGTTAGCAGAGCGAAACCAAGTCAAATTGTCTTGGGTTCCTGGACATTCGGGGCATGAGGGGAACGAAAAAGCCGATGCATTGGCCAGGAAGGGTGCGGAAGACCAACTGTCAGGACCAGAACCCTACTGTGGTACCCCCATAAGCTCAGGAGTAGCCAAAGTCCAAGACTGGGTCAAGGTTCAAAAGGCTCTGACCTGGATGAACCACCCAGGTATGAGGACGTCCAAATTACTAATCGACCCCACTGATAAAGGCTGGAAAGACTTGCTGAGCCTTAAGAAAGGGGACATTAGTCTGCTAGTAGGAGTTTTAACAGGGCACGGTCCTATCAGGAAACATCTCAGGACCATAGGGAGGTCACAAACAGACCTCTGCAGGTTCTGTGAGAACGAGGTAGAAACCTCAGAACATTTATGGCTGGACTGTCCAGCGTTGGCCCATAGAAGGCTTATATCTCTGGGGAGGTTATTCCTGGAACCAACAGAGATAAGGAAGCTGGGTGTCTTTCAGCTCCTGGGCTACTTGAGGAGCCTAGGGCTGTCAGAATGAATTAAAGGGTGCTACAAAAGGTCTCCAGGCCGAAGGGCAGCCCCCCAAAAAAAAAAAAAAAAAAGCATTATTCAAGGATGGTTTGTGTGAAGTTTGGTGCAGACCCGTCAAAAGGGCTCCGCCCCAGTGGCTCTGGAGTTTCCCATGTTAACCTTATGAGTACTCATATTTAAATGGAATTAAAGAATCTTAACAGCTGGTTCAACTAAACTATCTGATTCTGTGATGTTCAATAACATTAAAAAGTTAATAGGTTTACCAACAGGGTGCAGCACTATATTTTTTTAAGTTATGAGAATAGCTAATTTGCAACCAAAATGTGAGTGAGCGTAGCGAACGAACTTCAACCTGGAGGCGAGTTAGCGTAGCGAACGAGCTAACCTGAAGGCAAGTGAGCGCAGCGAACGAGCTTCAACCTAAAGATGAGTGAGCGTAGCAAACAAACTTCAACCAGGACGTGATTGAGCCATGAGAACGAGCTCATCTTGAAAATGAACGAGCATGTGACATAAAACCACAATAGGACAGGACGACGTCTGTCGGGCCAGCTAGTAACAAATAAATATAAGTGTTTACCACTCTGAATCAGATGGTTTTAGCAAAAATCCAAAATACATATAATTTACTAGCTGTAACCCGCGGGCTTTGCCCCGTTTAACTTCTTAATTTTCAAGATGATCTCGTTCGCATGGCTCAACCACGTCCTGGTTGAAGTTCGTTCGCTACGCTCACTCACCTTTGGGTTGGAGCTCGTTCGCTGCGCTCACTTGCCTTCAGGTTAGCTCGTTCGCTACGCTCACTCATCTTTAGGTTGAAGCTCGTTCGCTGCGCTCACTTGCCCCCAGGTTAGCTCGTTCACTACGCTAACTCGCCTCCAGGTTGAAGTTCGTTCGCTATGCTCACTCACCTTTTGGTTGCAAATTAGCTGTTGTCATAAATGTAAAAGAAATAATAGTGCTGCACCCTGTTGGTAATCCTTGTAACTTTAATGTCATTGAACATCATAGAACAGAACCAACTTGTTTAATTGAAACAGCTGTTAAGATTCATTAATTCCATTTCTCATAAGGTTAACATGGGAAACTCCAGAGCCACTGGGGCGGAGCCGATTGGACGGATCACGAAATTGATGGTGTATAAACCTATTCCATGAAATTCTACACGTATGTACCAAGTTTCGTGGCAATCGGTTCAGCGGTGTCTGAGTTTATCACTGCCAAATATATACAGACTGTCCCAAAAGTCCCGGACCGGTTTAATATTTTCTAAACGACAACAGATAAATCAATAAGATTTGGTACATCAAATACACACCTAAAAATCTACTTTTTTAAGGAAATATCAATTTTCTGTCACATCATGGGGACGTCCCGCAAGGAGTCAGAAGGAAATCTTAAATAGAAGCATAGGTTGACATGTACATCAAATTAAAGGCCTTTACTAGCAGAATATAATGCTGCAAATTTGAACTCAAACGGACAACCAAGTCAAAAATGACAGTGGTTCAAAGATTCATTTAATTTGCATTTGGGGGCACAGCCCTAGGAATCGGAAAAAAATTGTTAACGTAAGCATAGGTCGATATGCACATCAAATTGAAGGTCTTTACTAGTAGATTACAATGCCGTAAATTCAAGCTCAAAAGAACGCCTGAGTAAAAATTGGCAGTCGTTCAAAGGTTCAAAATGGCAGGTTCTAGAAATCTTTGAACGGCCGCCATTTTGTAACGGGTGATCCTTTTGAGGCGCGGTTTCCGGCATTGAACTCTGCTACCCAAGCCCTTTAAACTGATATGCATATTGACCTATGCTCCTATTTAAGATTTCCTTCTGACTCCTTGTAGGACGTCCCCTTGATATGACAGAAAACTGATGGTTCCTTAAAAAAGTAGATTTTTAAGTGTGGTGTTGATGTGCAAAATCTTATTGATTTATCTGTTGTCGTTTAGAAAATATTAAACCGGTCCGGGACTTTTGGGACAGTCTGTATATACAAGCTGCTATACCCGTGCTTTGCAACGGGAAGAAGTGACCTAGAGAGCTATTAAAGTAATTCTGATGTGTGTTTTAAAATACGGAAACTATATGATTTAGTTTGAAAATACGGGGTGAGTTTCTACTGACCGTGTTAACTTCGCCAGTGGGTTCTACTCACTAAAAGGAACAAAAAGGTTCCTATAAACCCATGTCCGATTTTCGACCGTTTGGCTGTTTTGGGGGATTTTGTGTTTTTCTTATTTTATTAGACTTTGCTCCACAATTTATGTAATAAAAACTTAACCAATTACTTTAGAGAGTTGTAGTTAAAATCATTGGAAAGAACATTAAATTTGCTATAAATCAAAGGTTTCATTCAACAATTATACCATTACATAGTCCACGTTATAACCAAAATAAAGTAAAAATGTCATTAAATTAATTAATTACGATAATTTTCATGGGCCTCCTTTGATACATAAACCTGCATTTATGCAACGTTGAAATGCATAAAAAACTTGGCATTTTAATAATCTTTCAAATGATATGCTATTCAATACTATTATTGATATAAACCAGTGAGAAATTACTAATAAACTACAATAAAACACGGTTTACAGATTTTGTTTTTGCACAGTTTTACTGTTAATAATAATTACTGTATACTCCATGATGTATTTTATTGAACTATCTGATAAAATAACTTTTAAATATTTATTAAAATTATCTGAATTAATAAAATGTATAAACTCAAGGGTTTTCACATTTTCAAAGATGTAGTGTGTTTGATTCTTAAATGCTGTGTAATTAGTTTTACCTTGTGCTTGATTAAGTCAGCTTTTATTGATTTGTCATCTATAGCTAGATAACTCAGCTGCTTGAACATACCTTGTTGAGTAATTTGCTGTTTTAACTTTATATTTCCAAGTCAATTAAGAGTTTTTCAACATTTATTTGATTGGAGCCTTTTACCAATCAAGATTATGCCAACATGATGAATACAGTAATTATTATTAACAGTAAAACTGTGCAAAAACAAAATCTGTAAACCGTGTTTTATTGTAGTTTATTAGTAATTTCTCACTGGTTTATATCAATAATAGTATTGAATAGCGTATCATTTGAAAGATTATTAAAATGCCAAGTTTTTTATGCATTTCAACATTGCATAAATGCAGGTTTATGTATCAAAGGAGGCTCATGAAAGTTATCGTAATTAATTAATTTAATGACATTTTTACTTTATTTTGGATATAACGTGGACTATGTAATGGTATAATTGTTGAATGAAACCTTTGATTTATAGCAAATTTAATGTTCTTTCCAATGATTTTAACTACAACTCTCTAAAGTAATTGGTTAAGTTTTTATTACATAAATTGTGGAGCAAAGTCTAATAAAATAAGAAAAACACAAAATCCCCTATTACAGCCAAAAGGTTAAAAATCGGACATGGGTTTATAGGAACTTTTTTGTTCCTTTTAGTGAGTAGAACCCACTGGCGAAGTTAACACGGTCAGTAGAAACTCACCCTGTATAAACTGATTTAAAAGTGTAAACCTACTTACTTTCAAACGCCTACTTTTTATGGTAATAGATCCAAAAGTATATAAAAACATACCTTAGTGTAGCAATAACATCAATTGCTTTCATATTGATGCTTCACGAATGACATTTTTTACCACAATTCTTCAACTTTAGTCAGGCCTCTTTACATGTAGTTTACTATATAAATTACAAAATGAAATTTTGAGCAATACTTTACAAAACGTATACAACCTTTCTTTAAAACCAAACATAACCCTCCTAAATCTACATAAATCATCACAAACATCTTTTTCTAGTAAATAAACAAACACCAGTTCATTGTACTGACCAGCTGTTTCATTAATTAAATTAAATTAAATCATGTAAACTTTGGAAGCATGCCAGGCGTAGCCCTTTGGAAATCAGCCTGTGGGGCAGAGCCCTTAGGCAATTCGTCTATATCAATACTTTTCGGCAAATCTACAAACTCTCAGCTTCATTTTGATGTGACATATGCCAATATTTTTATTTCGTAAATGGCCTTAACCGTTTACATAAAATTTGATTGTATCACTTTAATAATATAATAGATACAAACATCCTCTTTTATACTTATAGATAAAGAAGTAAAAAAGAAAACGTTGATAGAAAGAAAGAAAGAAAATATGTTTTATATACTATCTCAAATTTAGACCGGAAGTTGTTTTAGATTTAAGTATTAATTGATGAGCTTGCTCAAGCTGTCTTAATTTTAAGTCTGATGCGTCTTTTGCCAATTTTCTTATTCCTTTCAATGAATAACATTGTTGAAAATTTTGAGAATGCTCTCTTTTATGTATTAACTTTCTTATGGAAACTGACAATAAGCTTTTAATTTTGTTGGTCAAATCAATTCTAAATTTATTTTCAGATAATTTATTCTTGAGCAGTGCTATACAAGAACATTTTGTATAGGCTACATTGGTTTTCAATTTGAATGCAATTATTCTTATAGATTAAAAAGTTAGTAAAAATTTGTATGGAACTTGTATAACTTCATGAATATAGATAGAAACTGTGGTAACAATGAATATATTAAAATGTGCCAGAGAGTCGTTGCGAGGAGGCAGATTAAATTACATGCAAACAATAGAAACTGAGGTTTTGTTTGTGGTGTGGCTGCTACATAACATTCTTTAAATAATAACTTCTAGTTGTTGGAATGATATTTATTCGGACTTGTCTATACAATGTCTGTTAATATTGAACTTTTAAATTTTTTACGGAGTAATGAGATGTTGACACCCAAGTCATTTAGGAAGGTTAAATATGATTTAAGTTTTTTTTTTGTTGGATCTTTATATTTTTCTTTACATTTGCATATGTTAATCATTTAACACAAGCGTTTTATGATGAATTATTTTGTATTTCAGTCATTTATGAATCTATTATATTATTAAAGTGATACAATCAAATTTTATGTAAACGGTTAAGGCCATTTACCAAATAAGAATATAGACATATGGCACATCAAAATGAAGCTTAGAGTGTGTAGATTTGCCAAAAAGTATTGATATGGACGAATTTCCTAAGGGCTCTGCCCCACAGGCTAATTTCCAAAGGGCTACGCCTGGCATGCTTCCAATGTGTAAATGATTTAATTTAATTTAGTTAATGAAACAGCTGGTTAGTAAAATGAACTGGTGTTTGTTTATTTACTCGAAAAAGATTTTTGTGACGCTTTATGTAGATTGAAGAGGGTTATGTTTGGTTTTAAAGTGAGGTTGTATACGTTTTTAAGCTACATGTGAAGAGGCTTGACTAAAATTGAAGAATTATGGTAAAACATGTCATTCACGAAGCATTAATATGAAACAATTGATGCTATTGCTACACTAAGGCATGTTGTCATATTCTTATGGATCTATTAACACCAAAAGTAGAGGTTTGAAAGTAAGTAGGTTTACGGGTATAGCAGCTTGTTATTATTATTATTAAAATTATTATTGTTATTATTATTAAAAATTGTATACACACTTTGAATCTAGGCTATAACTTGAAAACCTTATTGATAGACTTTTTTTCTGATTAACTAAAGTCCGTCAAGTTTGGCTTATCAATTCAATGTGAACAACCCAAACTGACAAGCCGACTGTGTACATGCATAAGTTTGTCCAAACGATGCGATAGTGTGTGTGTGGAAGCATCAGTTCAGCTGTTCTAATAGTGCTGTCAAGCCGCAATGATTGTGTCTAGGGGGCTCATGGGTACAAAAAAAAACAAAAAAAAAACAAAAACAAAAAAAAACTTTGTAGATTAAGCTAATTTGTTGTAAAAATACGAACTACCTAATATAGTAAAGCATTTAAAAGTAAAAAAAAAAACAAAAATAGAATATGGTGTGGAAAACTGGGTTATAATTGCAAAACAGAGGTATATTCAATATAAAACTTATTTAATCCAATTAAAAGGAAGTCCATTAAGAAGTTTTTTGCTGCATAATTAATAACTGTCTAATTTTGGAATACATTTTTTGGGAGAGTAAGTGATTTCAAATTTAGTCAACAAGTGAAATCCAGTTTTCTTACCTCTCATTTGATTTATTTATAAAATGTTGGTTTGATTTTAGTCTAAAATGAAAATGTCCTGCTAGGTTGCTGAAAGTACGAATGAAGTAGTCATGGTGTTGGAAGATGATGTTCGATTTGAACCGTTCTTTCGGCAAAAAGTGGAGTCTTTGTTGGAGGAACTGAAAACTCTAGATCTCAGCTGGGATTTGGTGTAAGTATTCAATCTTTGCAAGTTTATATTTTATTCTAGAAATAGATAAATAATTATATATAAAAAAAGTAAATTATTAAACATTAGTAATTACTTTAAAGTCCCAAAGTTTTTTATGATGAAAATAAAAAATTGGACCTCATTTATCGGCTTTCATAATTCTTTCTGAGTTTTTCACATCTATAAATGATTTATTAAAAACTATTTAGTTAACATTAATTTTAAATCCCAACAGTACAGTCATACTGCACACACTTGGCATAATGTGGATTTTATTATTATTGAATTATTTTTTGAAGGGTTCTGAGTTTAAAAAATGCCATGTTATCCAGAAAAAGGGAACTTTCTGGGTTTTAAATTATTGATTGACTGACCTAGGCTACTGGCTAGAACTCTGATCTTCCCCGTCTTAATGCTTGCAAGTAGCGCTAGCAATGTACGATGTAACTATCCAAGCTACTGGTTTCTGTAGTTTGCTCTCAGGGTTGCCAAGGGTAAACAACACTGTTGTCAGGTTCTGTGCAATGTACAAAATCCCAAAAAATCTTAATGAGATCCTCAAGAAACCTGGCCTGCTGGCTTATTGGGTGCTAACGCTAAGTTTTGCAGATTACAGGACTTTTGCCGATTATATTTGCTTATTTTAGTGCAATTTGTTGACCTGCATCATACCACTATCATCTGTTGTCTTAAGTCACAATTGTGTAGTGCTTGAGAAATTCCGAATGAGAGACAAAATAATAACATGATCTTGATATCAAGGCAAAAAAATTCTGTTTATTGGGGCTGGTCTAGTGGTTAGAGTGCGGGACTTTGGTCCGTGAGGTCCCTGGTTCAAATCCTGCCAAATCACCAATTGGTTTTATCTATAAGTGATAATGCCACAACCCCTAAATCTGGCCTGAAGTAATGTGGAAAACAGTTCCAGGCTCGTGTCTAGCGTCTTAGGACAAAAAAATCTCTGTTTATCTCCATTGTGTAGGCCTACATACCATATACCAAAAGCTCATCACCATTCTCAAGAATACCAAGTCCACCTCTGATCTTGTTATCCTTGTTTTTACAGATACTTGGGCCGTAAGAGGCTGCAAGAGAAGGATGAGTTGTTTGTGCCAGGCTCCAAGATGCTGGTGAAGCCCAACTACTCATACTGGACCCTGGGCTACCTGCTGTCTAGGTCTGGGGCCAAGAAACTGCTGGAAGCCGACCCGTTGTCTAACCTGCTGCCAGTGGATGAGTACTTACCCATACTGTACGACAAGCATACAGAGTAAGTCATTGATAAACTTGTTTCGATAACACATCCTGTATTATATGGCTGTATCAAAATCAGATAAGCAAACAATTTAGAATATCTCAAACCAAATCTAAATCATTTCATTCCAACAAAGAAGAAATATTCAAAGAATATAATTTCCAAATAACAACATACATAGGTGGCCTGTGCGCGAGGAATGAGATCCTCCTTGTTGAACCCTTTCTGGGCTTTAGGTTTAACTTTTAACAAATCAGCTGTTAACCTTTTTCCAATTTCCGCTTGTAAAGTGGATCGCAAATCATCACAAATAACGTAAAAATAATCAACAAAAAACACTAAGACACCAACATTGTTACTGTAAAATGAGACAAAGCAACGCTCCTACACTCAGGGAAAGGATTCACTTTGTACGATCACTAAGATGTGTGTGGAAGGAGGGAGAAGTGAAGTTGGCCAATTTATGGTATACAGTGTGCTAAAACAACAGGGAAGTTCAGTCGAGGGTAGGACGTTAATAGCCTTGCACATATTTTCCTAATCCTGGGGCAGCAAAAGGGGTGATCTTGATGCACCTGTTTTGGTGTGCACTGTGCAGTCATATCAATCAGAATTAGCAAACCAATTTCAAGGTATTCAATCGTCAGATAATACGTAAGGTCGGGATAACATAGAAGACCAAATAACCAAAGGTCAGATAATTTAGACTCTACATTAACACACAGAAAAAACAATTATTTTATATACATTTTACAATAGGAATACGTCCCGCAATATGGCTGGTGAGGCTGTTGTTACTATACTTCGTTCACAATATTTAGGTGGTTTGAGGGGAGGTTCATCTAACACTTTTTTGTATTTAATATATGTTGCTTAATCAGCTGTTGAGCTATTATTTTAAAGGCAAGGGTCAAGTGGAAAGAGATTTCTTTCCCTAAAACCGCCTATAGGAACCTGATGAGTACTAGTACATTATGGTGGTGTTGATATTTCAGTGTGTTGCTTCTCAAGTGCTAAGACCACTCAGCTACCCATCTATATAATTGTGCTCTCTAACAGGATGCCAAAGCGAGGTCTTGCACAACCAGTGTAATCCAAGATGTATCGACTTCTAAATGTCCTTTCATAACAAAGTTTGTGTCAAGTTAAGTTCTTTGTTGCAGAGAGAAGTGGAAAGCGAACTTCCCTGTGCGTAACTTGCAAGTGTTCTCCGCTGAGCCGTTGATCATCTACCCTGTGAGATACTTGTATGAGGAAGGCTATCACAGCGACACCGAGGACTCTCCCCCCGCCGTGACCCCGCCAGCTCCACCAAGAGACGATCTGTAGTTCTACAATACCACTATAAGTACCAAATATTTAAGTTGTAGTACTCGTATTGTAAAAGTTTTGACTTAGACACTCTATGATGGTGTAGACTTTACATTTACATGTAAACACTGTCTTTGTCTCATGTAAATGTTTCAGAATGAGAAAGGACTTCCAGGTTCAGTTGAGCTATCGTCACAGTGTGAAGCTGGAAATTATGGGTATCTTTCTTGTGGACCGACATCTTAATCATGCAAAAAGGAAAGCGCAATAGACATAGACATATTTTACAATCTATTGTAAACTGAGAGTTTACTTGAAAAAGGATAGAATTAACAAGATCAGCCCAGTCCAGGGGCTAATTAATAGATGCACAGTGAGAGTGAAATTTCACAAACTTTGACACTGATATTTTGTCAAAATACAGGGTATTATTCAGAAAGCAGATTGAAAACATCTGGAGAAAATTTTGGTGTAAATTTACATAAAAAAAAAAACTTATAATATCAGTGTAATATTGAGGTCGCCATCTTGTATTTTGTATCAATCACCATCTGGACTCTAATTTTCACAAGTAAGCTAGATGAACTTTATCCCTTACAATTCTGTTAAAGCTATTGTAAATCATAGCATTTTATGTACCCCTTTTCTGTTTTTTTATGAAGAACTAAATGAGAAATATCAAACTTAAATAGTAGTACACTCACTTGTTGCAGCTTTCCCCATAAAGATTAGATGTCTGTGTCAGTGTTTAAAGCCAATGGTGTAAGAGTTACACTCAAGATTGTGTTCACCATTATTGTATCACTATTATTAGGAATTATTTATGCGAGGGCAATGTTGGTTCGTAACTTTGTGATGGAAATGTAATGTTGAAATTTTAACAAACGGGTCAATAGACTCCCGATTATCCACAAACAGACTAACCACACTGAAGATAAAAAATCGAAATAAAAAATATTAAATACAAGGAAAATATACGATATACAGCGAGGACCTACATATTTAGTGTGAGAGGCCCATGATCTTTGGGCAGACTAGAGTTGCTTTATTGACCACAGATAAGTTGATAAGTTACATCTCGTGTGTGTTTTCACTTTTGCAATTACTAAGCCGGAAAATAGGCTCTCTAGTATTATTTGTTTTGTTTGTGTTTAAACAAATTTAAAGGGCATATACACTAAATTTGTTTGATAATATCCTAGACCTGTAATGTTAGTTATTTGCTGGACATTTTAGGTTAGGTTTGCACTATCAACGATCATTTAGCCACTCATTATCAAGGATAATCGGGACTCTACTGAAGTAATGAAAATTGTTATGATATTATTGTGATAAAAACCTATGCCATATCAATGTCACTATAAAAAATATACATAACAGTTAATGTTATCATAAGGCCTATAATGACTCCAAGAATGTATCTTAAGCCTAGTCCACACATGGTGATTTGTCTCCGGAAACATTGTTGGCAGACTGTCTCCGTAGGGTTGCCGTTTGTATCCAGCAATGTCTCCAGATAGTCAGCTGACTGTCTGCCTACTGTTTGTGTCTGGGCACAGTCGACCGACTCAGTCTTCATGTGTGGACTAGGCTTTAGAAATACCAGTTCCAAGTGAAACAAGCCACATGTTGTGCATCAATCTAATCAGTGGTAATACTCTCTTTTTAAATTGGTGTTTAAAGACATGTTCTTAATTGGTGTAGCTAGTGATTAAAATTATCTAACCATATCAATTTTTCAAGCTAGTAAACAAGTTAGTATGGGATCTTAATTTGCCATGACACAACTGTGTTATTTCTATTTTTGTTGAAATGCCAAAAGACTGATTTTCATTTTAGTTATCTCAGTAGTTATTTTGTAATAGAAAAAAAATTGTTTGTCTGGTTGTTCTCTTTTCAAACTATGTGATTGAACTGCCAAAATACTATTGTATATTTCCTTGTCATCAGTGTTCCACGGACATATACTAGAATGATAAAGAGGGTGGTAATCTTTATGTTCATTCTAATTGCTAACATATCATTGATGAAAAATGTTCAAATAGTGTATTTAGCGGTTACGTGTAAAATATTGCAGTCAAGCATTGATAATACTTTGATTGACTAAAATACTTAACCTAAAGCCTTGGATACTACTTAATTAAGCTATAAACTAAATATAAGTAGTTGGCCATACTGCATATTGCAGTTGGCCTGATAATATGCCATATTAATAATCTTTTCCTATTTATACAGTGGAAATGTTGCATTAAAATGCCATATATGTTCGTGTCATGTTAACCGTTTTTGTAAGAAAACTGATGTGCCTTATTAGTGGTTAGATATACAGTATACAATATAGCCTACCTAATGGTATTTTGTTTTTGTAGTTTTATTTATATTCACGTTATGTTTGGTTTTAACTATGTTATATCTAATGTTTAGAATATATATAATCTCTTTCGTGGAACATGTTTTTGAATCTTATCAAGGTTCTACAAATAGTAGGGTTGAAAAAACGGTCTTCCATTTCACACCCATCTTGCTGAGAAACATTTTAAAATCTTGATTTTTGAGCAAGATTTAACAAACATATTGCAACAACTTTGCAAGTTAATTTTCTCAGAAAATGCATGTAGTTTATTATTTACTTTTAGTCTTATTGTGTAGAGCAACACATATTTTACAATAGAAATCCTCACTCGATTCACAATTTTAATTGTAAAACCAAATTTCAGCATTGAAAGTATCTTTTACAGTGAAATAAAAACTAAGTCTTAACTTGTCACACCTAAAATATTGTTAAGAACCAAAATGCCATAATATTTTGATTTTCAAGTTTATTGTGATGTTACTTACCCTTGATGGTAAACCTTTAACAAAATCATAACTGTACTTTCTTTAAAACAGCATTTCAATTTCAGGTAAAACTATTTGTTTGTATGTACGGTAACCCACGTTATGAAACACATAGCTTTTATTTGTAACAGTCTAGTCTAGAATAAGTGGCATTTATCATCAATTTTATATAACCTAGATTTTAAACAGTCAAATAAACTTATTTAGTAAAAAGTTTGTTCATTTTAAACTACCATAAACATTAAATATACTTGATCAATTAATTTATTTAGATTTCTTGTCAAAATATTTGTGTGCCTGATACATTGGTGTTTGACATGATATGCAACTTGCAGAGTACCGTACTTATGGGGTTGAAAATAGCTACTTTCTGCATCGGAAATGAAAAATAATTTACCTTGGACGAATAAAGAAATCAGCAGTAAACATTTATCTATAAAAACCTAGAAACAATTATTTTTTTCATTAGTTAAACAACTTTTTGTTATACTGCAGCAAAGCAATGAGCAATCTATTTGGGGGTAATTTATAAAGGTTAACAAAAACTCCTTTTCCAACCTCGGCTTGCCTTTTTCGTTAACTTGAGCTTGTTAGTGATGAAATATGCCATTGGATTACTGTGGATTAAAAATGGTTTCTTATTGTTGTCTCAATCTATATTGAACTTGTGTTCAGGTTAATGGCGAAACATGGAGTTTCACAGAGACCGGGTGCATCGTAAAACTACGTCAGACTCATAACTCAAACACTGTCAGACGCTAGATATTTACAGCTCAACTTCCTACGTGTGATGTATTACACTGTAAAAACGTATGCAGCACAATGTGTGGGGTACATTGTATGTAAGTCTAGGACAGACTGACAAGACCCCAGTAAAATCTATACATCAGGCTGACACAACTTTTCATTCGCAGTCCTGGGAAATAAAAAAAACGTTCTTTCTCTATTCCCTGTTATTCCTTAAGATCAAAAATATTTCTCCTTAAAACTTTTGTTGTTTCGTTTTGCATATTAGTGTGGTGAAAATTATCTTTTCGCAGTTAATATTTCCCCTCCAAAAATTGCTCAGGGCATTTAAAGTTGGTGGATTCGTTGGTAGTAGTTTAAATGGGCTTTTGGGCCAGTACGGAAATGCATCAAGCAAAACAAGGCGCGAGTCGATACAGGACAAAACAAATTTTACCGATAAATATTATTGGTAGCATCAAAAGACAAACCCCCAACATTATTGCCTTGGATAGTTGGATTTCTAATTTGTTGTACTATGTAGTGAGCGTACATACTAAGGATATTTTTATTGCCAGGTTTTTAAGGAATGAATATGTAATACTCTTATCTATTTTACTAACCCAATTTAAAATAGTTCCTCTTCCTCAGTTATTACATGCGCTGAATATAATTATCTGGGGCAAAGGTAAACTTTGAACACTGAAGTTAACAGTTTTAAGTTGTTGTATAACTACTTGAGGGTGACAACGCTTGCATCTTATCACACAGTCTCTTATGAGCTTCACACATAAAATGTACGAGGTCGGAGAGAAAATATGAATTTAGCTTTCTCTTTAAATTCTTGGGTGTTAAAATTCTAATAAGTCATAAGAAGATTCTGCAATTTAAAAATGGTCCATAATGTAGTAAAAAGTTCAAACAAAAACATTTATAATTAAATAAGATTTTTTTAATTAACCCCCAAACTTTCAACGTAAGAACATATTTTTTTGTTTTTACTTATTTTGTTGGTTAAAATGAAGTGGAGGAGATAGAATCGCTTCACCTCAAACCTGCCTAAATTTTGTGAACGGAGTATAATATATTTTAAATTTAAAAATTTAGATATATAGACTGACAAATCATATAGTGAACCACGACCTAAGTTATGCAATGAATTAAAGTTAATAAACAATGCAGTACCATAATGGCAAAATCTAAATACAAAAGTTAAGTTTGTGTAAGGAACAATGACATTTCGAGTCAAATACCTAAATAGATCAGGAAAATCAAATAATTGTAATAGTTGGTGCTGAACTAAAAACAGGATATAGGTACTTATTGGATTTCTCTGACAGAATGAAATAGGGTATGAACTATATATTAGAAATAGTTCCTTTAAAAGTTCAGCAGTTGAATAGATTGTCGACTGACACAGCAGTTATAACACTAGATGTTTGCTTTGATTTCAACATACTATCTGATTGATTTCATACAATGTGTTGACTCCAAGCAAGTGAACACATTCCTAGCCATACAATTTACATTGTAACGTTATCTTTGCATATTTGAATTAATCATATATTCATGCTTTGCAATACTGTACTACTGTATATAAATAATTCCCGATACTATTCTCAAAATGATGTCAAAAAACAATAACCAATAAGTAAACAAAAATTAACTGTACCTTAAAGCTGTAAAAATAAGGTACCATTTTTAAAAACGAGAAATAAAACAAACACTCCGCCTCAGCATACTTTTAGTCTATTCTTTAGTCATTTCCATTTACCTTATTGGATTTGCACTTAAATATATATAGGCCTGTATAAAGCTAATAAGAATCACCAACTATGTGAAAAACTGTAAGCCGCACACCTATCAACTGCATTCTTTAATGATTGGTTTTGATGAGAAACTTTCTCGAAAAAATATTATTTTTGTCACACTTAAGCAAACAGCAGTTTTAAATACATGCGTTGTAGTTATAAATCAGCTATTCTTCTCCCTAGGAGTACAATTCAGTTGTTGTTAACTTAGTTATACATTTTTAGAGTAACAATCGAGGGCGCATAGAGTGGCGATTGGGAGCGCAGAGTGGTGCTCAGCAGTGCAGAGTGGCAATCAGGAGCGCAGAGTGGCGATTGGGAGCGCAGAGTTGCGATTGGGAGCGCAGAGTGGCGATAAGAAGCGCAGAGTGGCGATCAGCAGCGCAGAGTGGCGATTGGGAGCGCAGAGTGGTGATCAGCAGTGCAGAGTGGCAATCAGAAGCTCAGATAGTGGCCATCAGGAGCGCAGAGTGGCGACCAGAAGCGCAGAGTGGCGATCAGGTGCGCATAGAGTGGTGATTGGTAGCTCATAGAGTTGCGCATGAGCACAAGCACCCTTCATACACCTTGTGGCTTTTTTGCTATTTTTACGGTTCAATTTTACGAAGTTGAAACTAACTATACGTCTACACAATAAAGTAAGAATGGTGGGGAAGTTTTCTGTATCTCGCACTACCCTCCTTACGCCAATCTACCTGACACGATCAATAGAAAATGTTTTAGTTTAGTCAGATATGTTGCCATAAAAACTTGAGACTACAAACTATAACTCAATGTTGTGTCCCCGACACTGTCATAAACACTTAATGTTTAAAACATGGCTAGGATACTCAAGATGATGAACATTGACAAAGACAGACTTAATGTAACACACTGTTGTTCTTTTGAGCTCAAATTTGCGTCGTTGGGTTCTACTAATAAAGACCTTTAATTTGATGTTCATATTGACCTATGCTTACGTTTATGATTTTCTTCAGACTTTAGTGGCTGTCCCCCTGAGGAGGTAGCGTCTCACTGAGTAATGTGTTAAAATAATTTGAATGCCAAGTAACCTTGTACCAAGTGTCATAGCTCTGTATTTATTATTATTTAAACTATTGAACTGTCCCAGGACTTTTTCCACCATGTATATTAAAAATAAAACATTAGAACCAACTTAGTATTTTTAATTCACACTAATTTTCAATGAATTATATTTCAACCATTAGAGTAAGTAATGTAGTTTAGATAGCGACAAATGTGTTGTTGGGATAGGGATGAAGTTATAGCGGGTTAGAGTTATCAGATGCATATTGTAGCTGAGTAATAGCGTATGTGCCCGACTGTTGGAAACTTTTAAGTGATTGTATGTGCATAAAGTTGCTAGAGTCATATAAAAGTTTGGCCGTTTAAAGTAGTTATGTTTGAAGTATCTTCACAGCTGAGGAGATTTCGTACTTGTACTCTTATAGAATGTTGTATTTCCACATTATAATGGTACTAGGCAAACTTCAGATGTAAAGTTGGATGAGATGCGTCTTCGTACATTTTTTTACATCTGTTAAAAAAAATTGAATTGTGAAAAACTCAATGATATTTCTGTTAATTTGTTTAAACGTTTAGCACCAAATAGTGCCTTTTAAAATGAAAAGGGTGCCCAATGTTTCGCATCGATAATTTTATAGCTTGTCCAGTCATTTCGTACGGTACCATAAAATGTTTGTAAAGGTAAATACTCGTATAAAACTAATATATGTTTTTAAAGATTTGTTGTAACCTTGTTTTCGCCATGGTTATGCAACATTTAAAATGTCAGTTTGGTCATTGTTGTTGTTTGGTGGATGTCTTGTAAGATCATGTGTGATTCAGAGCTAAAGTTTAATTTAAAATTGTAAATATTGATTATGTTTTCTAAAGAAGTTTTAAGTTTCTAATTACAAACCATGTCAATTTTTTGGGTCGCCGGAATTTTATCCCCCTAGAATTTTACCCCCTTGGCAAAGCTGACGTCACTATGACGTAGTAACCTGAGCGCTCTAAAGTTTGTGCGGAGTTTTACCCCCAGGGATTTGCAAGTATCATGAAAATAGACAGAGTGTGATAGATTAGATTAGCAATAAAAGCCGGAATTTTACCCCCTATCCAAAAATAAAATATGCGTTTTTAAATCATTGCCATACTATTTTAGAGTAGTAAACTCATAAAAATTTAGTAAATAACCGAACAGTTTCTATGTAATTAGTTGCAAAACTGGGATTCCCTGATTGGGTATTGGAAACTGTATGATTACAGAATGGTAATTAGTATTTTAACATGTGAAGAATAAACAAGTACAAAGTAAAATACTCATTAACGTGTTACATGACCAGATTTTGTACGTTTTATAATTTGACCTATCTAAATCTAAAAAAATAAAGTTTTATCAACTATTATAATAAACTAAATGCCAGAGCTGTAATAAAGTTTAACATTACAGACAATATTATATTTCCCAAACATAGAAAAAGTTTTTTATACTAGGGTTCCTGAGAAACTTACATTCCATTTAGAGGTGATCAAAACAAAATAGATAGCCAATGAACCAATTGGACATCTATCTATATATATAATACGCTAAG